GCCTCATTCTCTCTGAAGCACGCCAGGTGGGGAGAGAGTCTCCACACTAAAATGGAGAAGAAAGGCAGCCAATGTCTTCCGGGCTGCTAAAGCATGCAGGCTAAGCTGGGAATGTGATAGAAGAGCTTTAGCTGTTGCTTACTTCAGGCAGAACCTATCGTCTATGCTTATTTGTAATAAATATCATGGTAAAAGTCCTTTTAAAATATGGCATGACTTAATAATAGTTATAAAACCTCTCACTTACTAATATGTGGTTGCCTTTGATTTTATTTCCTAACTACAAGAATTCATAACTGACATCTATATTAGGTAAATATTTTTTTAGGCCCAACAGATTATAGGAATGTAAACAATCTTGCAAGATCCCCTGAATCTTGGGTGCTCTCGGTGAAAGGAAGGAAATGTTAAATCCTCCCGTGTGTCAAGAATTGTTTGAAAGCTGAATAAGCAACAGTGCATTTTGCAGAAAGCTTCAGTCACCGTTTTATTACCCAGATGGATGTGCATAAACTTAACCCCTTCCTACTTGGAACAGGATTATCAGTTGTAGGTCACTGCATGGGAATTCTGCCCTGACTAAAACTGTGTGAGAATGTTTTTTCAGCATTACCTCCCTCTTTGAAAAGAAATCTATTTCTCCTCTTTAAAAAATGCTAGAGACCAGGGTCATCCCATGAAGCTGACTGGAAAGTTAGGACAGATAAAAGGACAGATAGTCTGACTGTGGAATTTGCTACCACTAGTTGTAGAGATGGCCACCAATTTGGAATATTTAAAAGGGTCAGGTGGAGGAGAAGGCTCTCAATGGCTACTAACCAAAATGGCTGCAGATTACCTCCAATCACAGAGGCAGTATTTTGATACAAACTGACCTGATCTTTACACCTCATATTAATGTACAGCATGGAACTTAGTTATCTACCAGCATCTGGTGCTTCTCAAATGTTGCAACACAATTCTGTGCTCAAATACATAATGGAATTTATTTTTAAATATATACTTCAAAAGAAAATACCTGTTTAAAAATGTAAACATTCCTACAAATTGATTTATAATTGCAGGTCCATGTGAAAATGGGATGGGAAAGATTTATGGGTGAATACGTGTGAAAGAGTCACATAGTTCAGAAAGAGATTCACCTATATTGGGTTACCTCAACTTGATGCCTTCCAAATTTGTCTAACTGGAACTCTCCCCCATTATTTCTGATTGCTGGCTCTGCTGGCTGAGGCTGATGGGAGCTAGAATCTAAAATATCTGAAGGCACCAAACTGGGGGAAGCTGTCCTACCCCTACCTGAGACTCAGCCTCACTCTCAGATGTTTTGAAGTCTATGCCCTCATTTCCTGGAACACGGAGACATGATGAATAATACTTTTTTGTGTTCAGCTTTGTTAAGCACTTGGGGAATGCCTGGAACAGGACAGACTTGAATATAGTAGGATACCTCCTGTGAAGCGAAATGAAGTGAAGCAAGAACTGGAAAAGGACAGCTTTTCAAAAAGAGGTCTTTATGGGTGGTAGAGGAACAATGAACAGTCTAACCAACTAAGGGCATTTGACAAAGTTGGAAGAAAGGAAGGGAGACTCCAGGCATTTGCAGGAAGAGGGATAAAGAGGCATTTTGGCCTTCTGTGGAATAAATGCATGATGCCTCATTCCTAAGAAGAAAGAGTTCAGGCAAGTGCCTTGATTTGAATAGGTATTGAAATCCATTAACTGACAATTATAGTAATGGGTTGGACCCAAACTGCAGCTTGCAGTTAGGTCTCAAAATCATGGGACAAGTCAATTATACAGGTCACTTTTGCATTCTGTTATACAGGAATAACATTGAAATTGGTCACTTCGCCTTTGTTTGTTTGTTTTGACTATTTCTTCATTTATATCCTACTTTTATCCGTTAAGAAATTCAGGGTAGGACAATTGATATTTCCAGGTGGTCCCTAACCATACATTATCTAGGTCTAGACCTGCTTACCTTGAGCAAGGTGGCTGCATCAGGTGTTCTGAAAAGACTCTGGCTCGCTTTGAAAAGGTGTTGGACCAGTTCATGATGCCCAATGGTATGTACAGCACATGCCCTTGGACAGAAGGACCTTTGGCAGGATTTGGCCACTGCCAGAGTGGAGTCATTGTGGCAGAGGGCTCATTGTCGATGGGAAAACAATGGGGCTTCTTCCTGGTCCCAGCAGGGTGGGGTTCGCATTGCATAGTGGAGTGTGGGTTATGTTTTTCTAAAGAACTGGTCTATAGGGAGTGCTGCTGGGGCAGTCCTGGTAGCTGTTTACCACTCACTCTTCTAGCACCCCATTAGATGCAGTCATGTCCCATAAACCTCCTCTTGGGCTTTGAACTGTATAGCAGGGCAGGCTCAAACTAGGTGTGGGTGGCATTGGCTGGTCTATAGCAGAAGATGGCACTGGTGACCAAGGCAGTGAGATGGTTGTGGTGGTGCTAATTCCAAGGGTGGTGAGAGCTCTGGTGGCTCGCAAGTGGTAGGATTGGCTGTGTTGGGAAGCATCCATCCAGGGTGTCTTCCCCTTGATGCCCAGGACTGGAACTGCTGGATAAACTGAACTATAGGTTGGCACTGAGGCAACTGAAACCAAAGGATGGGGCTGGTTACAGGTTTCTGCCAGTTGCCACCTGAGTTTTCCCGAATTGTGTTTGCAGCGAGCTACTTGTGGTTTATAGCTGACATTTCTTGGCTGTACCGTCCCATTTGTCTAGCTGCTAGAGATGGCTTCTCTCTAAAACCTGGTGAAAGTGTTTCAGGGCCTCATGATCAAAGTCCCTTCTCAGGGAAACCTGGGATGAACTTTGATGGGGAGAGACACTTGAAAGGGTTCAGTCTCATCCTAAGCAGAAAATTGGATGTTCAGTCAGGGTTCAGCAAAGAAACAAGACAGGACCAGAGTCTTTTTACCCACACATCATAACACCTGGATGCCCCTGGGGTGCTATCAGCCCCTGTTGGACACCCTGCCAGCCAATTATAAAGATTTGGACTGAACCAGAAAACTGCTCTTATAGGCAAAGACTTCAGTCTGGAAACATGCCAGTGCTGAAGTGAGCAAGGTTCATTCAGACAGACTGTGAGCATAGGAGAGAGGATCTGCAACCAAACAACTCTCTAGCAGCAATATAGCTAACAGAGTTTATACACCAACTCAGTGTACACATGCTTAGTGCAGATGGGCTGATACTGAAACCAGCTCAAACTGGTTCGAAGCAGGGGACCCTCACCTCACATTCTAAGCTCAGGCAGTTTTCTCTCAGTCTTTATTTCTCTTATTTCAGCTCTTCTCTTGCATGTCCTGTTCCTTAGTTTGGTTGCTTCTGCTGTTTGGCCTTCATATTCTTAGAACAAGAACTAGTCTGTTTACTTCTATACCCTACCCTCAGGCACGGAGCTCCAAACTGATTTGTTTGGTTGCAGGAAATAGTTGATGCAGCCTAGGCAACCTTGGGCCATGGGAACATCAGACAATTTGAGAAACTCCTGGTGTTTTCCCCTGGCTCCTGCAAGTCTTCAAGCCACAGTGGGCTGCAGCCATGGCTTATCATGATGTGCAAACCCAGCAAGGTTGTTGCCATGATTAACAAGCCATAAGCTGATTTGGAGTTTGTTTACCCTAGTAACAATCCACGGTTTGCATGTTATGATAAGCTACATAACTGAAAGCATTGCTTCAGGCTATAGATGAGCTGTCCATACAGTCAGTGGAGACAAAATTTCTACACAAGCATTGCCTAATACAGGATTGCTAAACCCTTCTCTGTTTGAGTAAAACATAACCCAAGAAATCTGACAGGACACTGACTCTGACTGCCAGAACCCTCCCTGTTCAGGCTGACTCTGTCCTAAAGTGGGTTTTTCCTATGGCTGCCAATCTCTCGCAAGGCTGCATTACCCACACGGGGCCTCCCTTTTCCCAGCCTCTTCTTCATAGGAGCCTGTGTTGCCATGGTTTCCAAGAGCCTTGCCTGGCCTCCATCTGAGAGACCAGGAGGAGCAGCAGCTGGAAGGTTTTTGCTCACGCACTCCTGTTCTCCCTTATCAGCAGCTCTTGCACTGTTGACTCCCAGGCAACATCTTCCACCTCCCCCTCCGCATCTGACTCAGAGCTGCTTTCATTTCTCCTGGTCCTACAGCTGACATGCACTACAGCTTACCACAGCTTACCCACAGTGGACTGCAGTGATCATTCAAGCCAGCCCCAAAGGATTGAGAAAGGACTGCTGAATTGCAAAAGGGCAGCAACATTTATTCCTTTTTTAATGTGGAAATCTGTAAATTCAAATATTCACCTTGCCAACTAATTAAAACCTTCATCACAGTACAGCTCCTTCTTACTGGTGGGAAGGTATCAAGTCATGCCAAGCCCTTCTGGGCAGGCTACCCCCATTTAGGACAATGGGTGGTCTTTCTCCTTGTGTCCATTTAGGGTCTTACTTAAAGTGTCATGGAGGGTGCCCCATGAACCCTCCTCATGCCCCTCCAACAACCTTCCCCAACTGGGTGCCTTCTAGATGCCCCGCATGATGGAAATTGTAGTCAAACAGGCCTGAAGAGTGCCGAGTTGGGGAAGGCTGCCCTGCAGTTTTGTGTATCTGAATCAGGCATAACCCAAGTGCCTCGATCTGCTCTAATCATTTGACCCTGAAGGGGGAGGTGATGGCAATATATTTACAGTGTGAATGAATTCTGGTAATGCCTGCAATTCTGAACAGAACACAACCTTCAAGGTTTCAACAGCAATACCCCCAATCTATATGATGCCAAGGAAAGAATTTAGTGCCATTCAGTTCTGCCATATTATTTTTCATTAATTTCTACTGGTCATATTTTTCAGATTTATCAGAATCATTATGTTTGTTAGTGCGATTGATGTGGATGAAAAGCGATGCAGAAAGCGGCAAGAGTCATGACTTACAAAACTTTGATTGGTTGCCTTAACAACTTATGGGACATAGTGGATCTAATGTCATACCTCTAGATGCATTCAGGAAAACATAATTCACCGAGAATCCCTCTGAAGCGATGTTCCGATTTGTCACGAAATGCAGCATCATCGTGTTGCCACTGCTGGTCACAGATGGTGGGACTGACCTCCCACAATACCTGTGCCAAATCCATCATAAGTAGTGTGTCCAAAGTTCACTTTCTTTTGCACAGAAGTCACAAACTCAGTGCTTACATAATGCTGAATATGTAAGGATAAGAGGATGACAAATGTGCAAATCAAATATCTGAAGAATGGAACGAAGTATGTCACAAATTATTTTAAAACCTTTATGAAGCAAGCCTATACTTGTCTAGACAAGAAAATGTTCCACAGCTCCCACCAGGATGGCTGGCTGGGGAATAGTGGAAGCTTTGGGGCATTTTTCTCTTTTCAATAGACATATTGTTGCACTTTTAACTAATTGCCTCACTTTGGATAAAAAGGGAGGCACAGGGCAGCATAATACGGCATTCCAAGGGACTGACAAGCACAGAGCAAGTCCCATGGAAAGACAGGATGAATCAGCGGGACTGCCCAGAAAAAACAGCACATCTGAAAGGGGTGAGATGGGAAATTATGTATGGCAGAGGAAGGATATGCCTGTTGATTGAAAAGGCGCAATGAGTGATAAGGAAGAGCAGGTCTTTCAAAGGCCTTAAAAAAGAAATTTTATCTGAACAGTCCAGTCCAGAGGCATCAGGCAGACAAGCAGCCCAGTATGTCTGCTCAGATTGAAAGGGGTTCCTTCCAGGTTGGTGTGTACTGAGCCTTAATAAATTCAGACTTCCCGTCCCTGGTTTTAATAACTATGTACATACCGCCCCAATTTTGTCATAGTGAAGTTGTCATAGATGTCAAGGTAATCTTGGTAGCAAGTGTAACCAAATTCCAGGTTGAAAGATGTGAAGGTCAGACGGATCAGGTAACCAGGCTGGGCTAGGATGGTCCATGCACAGTTGATGCCATGTGGGTATGTGGCAAGATAGCCAGGACTTGCAATGGTTCCCTCCAGTTCTGTGAGAATCCCTCCACATGCTGCAGGGCATGAAAAACAGTGCATCATTTAAGAGGCGGCTCATAAATATGGAGAGCCAGCATGCCATAGTGGTTGGAATGGTGGGCAGGGACTCTGGAGATGTGGGTTCTAGCTTCCACTCAGCCAGGAAGTCCACTGAGCGATTTCGGGCTAGTCACTGACTCTCAGCCTAACCTACCTCATAGGGTTGTTGTGGGGATAAAATGGAGAGAAGAATTATGTAACTGGTTTGGCTTCCTTGAAGAAAACAGGCAGCATATTCATATAATAAAAACAAATAGCATGATTAAAATCTGTGATCCTATACACTGACTTGAGAGTAAAACCCATCAAATTCAATGGAACTTGCTTCTGTGTTGATATGCATAGGATCACAACAGAGATTGCATTGTCCCGTTAGTCCCATATAAGAGAAGCAGTAAACTTCTTTTAGCCCAAGAGCCAAAAATCAGTTTGGAGAAGCTCTTGGTATCCTCATTTCAGTGTTGGGACAAAGGCAAACTGACAAGGTCAAAAATACCAAAAAATGAAAGGAAAGGGAAGCAAAGCGAGCATATCATAACTTAAAACTCTTACTATCAGTAAAGAAGCCTCAGGAGAATGCTGGAAAACTGCACCAAACCCAGGAAAGATCAAAGCCTGATCAAGGAGTATAAAGGAAACCCTGGACAGACAGACTGGGACACCAGGAAAGCTACATCTGATCTCCTGTTCTGAAGTTCCCCCTTCTTCTCTCAGAATAGTAATCCCACCAGAAATGGCATATTAATTTCAAATGTCTATTATGTCATCCCTTATTTTTTTATTACTAAGTTAATGACACCAGCAATTACCTGCATCCAAAGACTTGTAGTCAGCCTGGAAACCAAGGTTGGTAACAGATGAAGCTCTGAATTTTACATAGAGAAAATTGCGTGTGGACTGAACTATTGAAGGTACAACTCCACCACAGTATTTCCCCAAAACAGGAGAATTCATGTTGTTGCCATCTCTGATCTGCAGGTGTGAAAAGTGCAAATCTATGACATTTGTCACAATCCTAAGTGCATCATGTAATCAGAAGGACTTTAGATGTGTGTCAATTTTGGTTACTCTCAGTTTCTCAGTTTTGCTTTACTTTTGCTTTACAAAAGAATTTTACTTTTCTTTTGTCCCATTTCCACATCAGTGTAAGATTTCTTCCTTTTTTAATTCCCACACAGAACTGCCTTGCTCATTCCTCCTGATGATGATGATGATGATGATGATGATTATTATAACATTTCTATGCCGCCCCTTGCCGAAACCTCGGGGATATGTATTTTTTCAAACAGCTTGCCTTGCTATGGTGCTTTTTTGTATGTTAACTTCACTAATATGTGAATTCATGTATACACATTCCCCTGATATATTTATTTTTATATGGTTGTTTTGCCTGGAGAACTGTATTGCACTATTCAGAGAAGTGTGAAGACTGAAGGAGAGCTATATTCACATATTGACTTAGGAAATGCAAGTCAGGTAGGACCACATTACAATGTGAACCAAATGAATATCTCCCCCAGCCATACTTTGTGGTAGAAATTTAGGGGCCACACAGTACAATGAGCAGGTGGGTCTCCAAAGGCAGCAAGGTAACCTTATCAGATTCTAAAGTAAATGAATTCACATTGCAATTTAAAAGAGGGGCCATTAGACCATTAATTTCAAAGTCAGAATGTTCTATTTTCACCACTGCTTAGTTGTAAGTTCCATTGAAATCAATGTGTACATACCCATCTCCCTAAGATCTCAGTCCTAAATATGCTTTCTCACAATAGAAGTCCCATACTCGTAATTCACAAAGGCTTACCTCCCATTCCAAGTAGGCTTGTGAATATAGCTTACACCTACCAATATATGAAATGTTTGTGTTGATTGTGTATCAAGGATATCTGTGAATTTATAGATTCAGTTTGTGATGAATAGAAATGACCTTCACCTCAACATAATCCAAGTTACAGGTTGTGGTACTATGAATCCAGAAGTCAGTGAAATTCAGAATCACCACATGCCCTTCCGACTGGGAGATGATCCACTCACAGATCTTGCCATGAGACAATGCCCTGGTATAATAGGGGGATCTGATAACTCCATTGCCAGACAAGGTTCCCCCACACACTGCCAAGAGAAAAGGAGAATTAGTCATTATTCCAGTTTGTGCATAAAGCAATTTCCTTTTAGAACAAAGAAATTCATTGCAGGGACTGAAACTTTAAAATCTCCATTAAAAATTTAAATTAGCCATTGAGTACATGGTCAACCATTCCAGCTTTTGGTTCTCAGGTGGGAAAAAGGAAGAAGGAAGAATGCCTGTGGGGGACATTAGGAGTAAATGAACATCTAGCTGCAGAAATGAAATAACTGACAGAAAGAAGGTGAAAATTGCAGAAATTTGTGACCAAGAGAGGCTTGGGGGAACTTCAGCTCTTACCTTTTCATCATCCCTAAACTTGGGGAAGTGGATAAACCTCAGTGATAGAGCATACACATTGCATGCAGGAGGTCCAAAGCTTCCATTCCCGGCATCTCCAGCTAGGGCTAGGAATCAATCCTGCCTAAAAGCTGGAAGAGCTGCTGCCTGCCTGTGTTGGCTGTACTGGGCTAGATGGAGTGACACAGTATAAGCAGCTTCCTGTGTTCCTAAGGCCAGCAACATTCATGGCTAGAGGAGCCCAAGCTGTGTGGCCATTTTAGCTCTAACATACATGCTGCTGGGCACACCTACACTGAGGGCATTGAATGAAGCATGCAACCATTCATTGCCATCAACACTGAAAGAAATCAAGATGCATCAGTAAAAGCAGGCTATCTGAAGAAGCCATACTGAATCAGGTATTTATTTAGTATGTTGAAACTGTCAACATATTACATAAATAAACGATATGTCCCATATGGGTTGCAAAGCCTCTTTCAGATTGAGGGCCGATTGGGTGAAGGCAAAGGAGGAGGGGCCAAAATTACAAACATACCAGCACATCTTTACTTCAAGCTCTCCCTGCCAGGACTGCAGCCTTGTCGATTTTTAGAATGGGGACTAAACTGCACCCATGTTGAGAAACAATTGGGAGTGGGGGAGGAGGTTGCTCAGAAATGAATCTTGCACTGGCAAGGAATAATAAATTGGTTCCACTGTTTCCGGGGTGAGCAGTTAGGACACTAAAGACCAGTTTCTCTTACCAACATCATAAACAGCCCTAAAGCTAGACTTGTGGGCTGCAGTGTAAGACCGAAACTTGATCCAGAGTCTGTTGCTATTGGAAGTTATCACTGAAGGAGTCGCATTGCCACAGAACTTGCCGATTAGGGGAGACATCTCGGTGTTGCCATTTCGGACCTAACCCATGAAAGAATATGAAATCATGTCAGATTTGATTATCAGACCACAACTGGATAATTTTGTGTCTTCAGTTGCTCCAGGCTACTACATATGCCAAATGAAGGTAAAACATCCAAGCACCAAGTCTCACAATTGGTGCCTACCCAGGTGATCTTGGCATGAGAGCTGCTGCTTCTTTCCTCACTGAAAGTTGTTGTGCAGAGGACTGGGCACTCTCTCCCTCTTATTTCCATTGGCAGAAGCCACCCATAAGAACGACAACCGGGATATTTTTCACCTGCCGGCTGCGCTTTCCTGCATCTAACTTTTGGGAGAAAGTTTCTGCGGGGGAGCAAAAGTAGGCAGGCCCTCTCACGCATTCACAACTCAGGTGCTGCAGCCTTGAACCTTGCCATGACACGCGGAGCCCAGCACTGGTGGGCAAAGTACTGATCTAGTGGGAAATACCAGAGCTCATCACCTGAGTCTCCTTCCAATTGGCCCTAAGAACATCCATCTAGCTCCTAAATTTTACATGAAGTTTGCTCTTCCAAATGCTGAGAATTCCCTGTGTGTGTGCACGCTGTTAGGTGAGAAGGAGAATAAAATTTGCAAAGTTTAAAGGCAGTGCTTTACCCCTTGCTGAAACTACCGTACTCTCAGTCTCCCATTGCAATACATTTCAGAGATGCTGGCATGTGACCAATGAACGCCTCCATACCCAGGAATTTGCCAGCATTTACTATTTTAACCTTCAAGCTTCAGTAAGTATGGTATCTCTTCATCAAATACGTTGTTGTGATCACAAATGGGAAAATAACCAAGTACCAAACTCAGTGAGGAATCCAAATTCCTAGTGAATATATGGTTTGCCTCAATCACGTTTCCAAATTATTGTCTCTATTATTATTATTCCAAGTGATTATCTCTATTTTTTAATCATTTCTGATCCAGAAAAAATGTTAACAGAAGTTCATACTCAAAATGTACACTTTTATCCCATGGCATAAAGCATGAAAATGCAGATCTTGTGGTGAATAGGGAGTTGCCTGACACGCACAAACACACAAACGTGTATATTAATAAAAATAACTTCCAAACTGTATTATATCAGGAAACCTCCCTGCAAAAGTGAGCATGTTAAAAAAAATTGCATAAAAAATTAAATGCCTTAGAAGAAGACACATAGTCATCTTTCAACAAACTATTCCTGACTTGACTTCACTCTGTTATTGAACATGCTTGTATATTAAATAAATGATCTAGAACAGTGGTGGCCAACCTCTGGCACACGTGCCACAGTGGGCGCACAGAGCCCTCTCTGTCAGCACATGAGCCAAGTCACCCCAGCATCATAGCATTGGATAACAGCACAGATAGGGGCCATGAGCATGCTCGGAAAGGAGTAGCAGAGCCACGCGATGACATCACAAGCCACAGACTCATTAGCCGAGACTCATCTGAACTTTCGCATGTCCGGTCAGTGTGCTACCAAGGATATGTATATATTTGCTTGGACTGGCTGTGAGTTGTTTTTTCTAAACTCAGTTTTAAAGTTTTATTGCAGTGTTGGCACGTTGCGATAAATCAGTATGTTTTGGGTTGCAGTTTGGGCACCTGGTCGCTAAAAGGTTCACCTTCACTGGGTTAGGGCTGCAAAAACGAGGTGTCCTGGCATGATTTTGATGGTTGCAATGTGTTTAGAATGGGCAGAAATCATGAGCAGTGCAGAAACAGCTACTCAAGGAAGGCTTTTTCAAAATCGCCCTTTTCCATGGAACTTTCACCCTCTATTAGGGTTAGGTGTGTGCAACAGAGTTGGGTTAGGGTTGCAAAAAGTGGGTGTCCTGACATGGTTTTTATTTTTGGAATGTGTTTAGAATGGGCAGAAATGATGAGCTGCGCAGAAAAAGCTACTCAAGGAAGGCTTCTTCAAAATCTTCCTATGTTCATTGGTATTTTACCCCTATATTAGGTTTAGGGGTGTGCACCATGGTAGGGTTGGGCCAATGGTGGCAAACCTATTGCACACATGGCACAGCAGGCATGCAGAGCCCCCTGTGTTGGCACGTGAGCAAAGTCACTGCAGCATCACCCCAGCATCGCCCGAACATCGGATAACAGCACTCACAGGGGCCATGCGCATGCTCTGAAAGGAGTAGCTGTGCCAGGCGATGACGTCACGACTCATCAGCCACGATTCATCCGAGCTTTCGTATGGCCGGTTAGTGCACTGCCAAGGATATGTATATATTTGCTTGGACTGGCTGTGGGTTTGTTTGTTTTTTTCTAAACTAAAACCTCAGTTTTCAGGTTTTATTGCTGAGTTGGCACTTTGCGATATATAAGTGGGTTTTGGGTTGTAGTTTGGGTGCTTGGTCTGTAAAAGGTTCGCCATCACTGATCTAGAAAGCCTGGATTCAGACTCCAGGTTCTGTAACTTTCTCAAACCCTGCAACAGCAGCTCTCCTTCTGAGTATGCAAATCACAAGATCTGAATGCCATTTCTAGCAACCATAATAGATAACCTACTTATCTGCAGTGCATGTGAGGACTTTGTGGACTTTTAAAGCATCAAACAGCACTTTTTAAACAGCCATTTCTTCCGTTTCCTCCTACCATCGCCCTCTTCAAAGTTAACTACTGAGCAGATATTAAAATTATTTTTTCTGGGACGGGAGGCTTTTAAAGTGCCTGTATTGTTCTGGTTATTTTTTATTTTACAACAGCAACCAAGTTGCTAAAATCTGACACATGTGGATGGATTATAAATAAATACTAAATGAAGTTTTATAGCCTTTCAGCCAGGAAAGGGAATAACCCTTTTTCATATCTCAAGTTGTAACAATATTGGCCTTTTCACAGCATTCTATGCTTCCAGGCTTCAACTGAATTAATGATTCTGAGCTTGGGCTGAGGAGAAATTGCCAGACCCCTCGAAGCAAACAGAGATGGTGTCAAGGGAGGCCCACTGAGGTTGGAGCCCTGAAACTGCCATCTGGAGCTCCGAATCTCTGGGAAGCCATTTGCCACACACCCTGCTGTCCATGGACACTTGCTGAAATAAAGGTGCTTGCAGCCCTGATTGATTCACTTCCATCTGATCTCCCTGGATTAGATGGCATTTGCCCACATCAGCATCACTTCCTGATTTTTTCTGTCTGAGGGTTTTCCTGAAACCGAATGCCCTCCTATCCCTTTTCCCCTATTCATACATCCCTTAGATAGGCACAGACCTTAGTAGGCACAGACCTTAGTACATATGTAAATTAATGTAAATTAGCATATGCAATTTTGTGCATGTCTTTTATCCTTCAGGCCTGTTCACCAGATCTTTTTGGTACCTAGTGCTGCCCTTGGAAGCAAACCAAGATCTGCTCCCGAAAGAAAAGAGTAACAGCCACACTGAACGAATTCGAACGGATTGTGCCCAATTGGAATGGCTTTGCTTCTCTTGTTGCAGTGAATTTCATTGTTGTTTTGCCAGCAATTAGAGAAGGGAATTATGAGCCCAAACAAACAAAAGCTGTCTGTTTTCATTACACACCAGGCTTCCCCTTTATTTGGAAATTAATTACACTTCACTCCAACCGGTGTCTAGGGAAGAAATGATGCTCTTACTGTAATAAAACTTCTGTAGCTAAGGCTGCAGATGAAACTCGGTGTATGTTAGAGATAGTTTTCAGGAGCGGATTTTGGTTTTGCTCACAAAGTGAGTTTTAAACTAAAAGAAAGAAAAATAAGTCCCATGACCCCAAGGCAATGGCCAAGAGCCTCAGGACAGGGATAAGCGATCAGTTAAAGTGCCTGGCAAAACCTATAACTTCAGTTCTCTGAACAGCTGACCATATCTCATGGCCTTCCCAACATGTGTTGCAGTCCAGTTCCCATCAACCTCAGCCCAGCAGCATGATGACTGGGAATTATGGGAATTTCAGTCCAACACATCTGGAGTAGATCCAGAATCTGTCTTCCAAGAGAGCTCACCTTCGCCCCCTCCCAAACCATGGTTTGCCCCATTCAGCAGGGTCTCCTGACTGTCTGTGTACATCTTTAGGGGGCTAGAAGAAATTCTTTGGGAAGACAGGCATGAGGAAGTCCACTTCTACATGCACACTTGATTCAGAGTAAATCTGGATCCAACCCTTACAGGGTACCAGGTTGAGGGAAGTTGCCAAAGGGAACCTGTGGGTGAAACTCTTCTCAGGTTTGTTTGTTTTAATGCTTTCTTTTATAACTTGTCCATTATATTTTAACTAAATAGAACAATATCTCTTACGCTGGACATAATTTCAAATAGTAGTTTCCCATATGAATCTGCTCAGGCATGTAAAATGATCATGAATCAGTAATCTTATTCCTAATTTCTATTTTCTAAATCAAAGCCATACCACCCTTCGATTGTAGGAGGCAGAATATTTTTCCATCTTCCTGCAGTGTCCAGTTTCAAAGGAGATTTGCCATGCAATGAGATACAGCTGCCATTTGAGAAAAGCAAACAAAAAATCTAAAGCCCTTTGGGTTAACTGAACTCCATGATTCTTGGAACAGGGCCAAAATAATTCTGGCTTTGGAATTACCTTGTCTAGGGAAAAGGCGTATTCCTGTACCTTTAAGACTCTAATGGAGGGAAAACCCCCACTGTTGTACTTCTCTCATTACACCTTGTGTTGGAAGAGGCAACTTCTGATGAAATTCAGCCTTGTATAAGATTCTGAACGGCACACAAACCTTTGCAGGGTATGTCTCTGGCAAAGCAAGTCTACTGAGCATCTCTTATCCTTATCATGAATTTGGCACACACTAGCCCAGGAGGTCAAGCATATGGATGTAATAATGCGGCAGCTCATCACAGCTAAGTTTTCTAGCTCGTCTACCATTACCTTTGGTCAATTGCACTCCTCTTGTTCCTTGTCCTCTGTGGATTTTGGACGCTAATGAAATGTCTCTTCATAATGATAGTAGGGTAGAAACTCACCTCCATCACTTATTTTTCCTCCCAGTAAAATAGACTTGAAGTGCATGACTGTATTCCCCATTGCTTAACATTTATTTTGAAAGCATCTACAGATCACTCTAATTTGGATCAGGACCACAGGGGTTAATCATTGTCCTTGGCCCAATTCTATATCAGGAATACAGTGCAGGAGTAACAGGGCAGTGTCTCCCCACCCACCATCAGTGACTGATTCCCAACCTCCCAGGATTACCTTTTTTAAGTAGTTTTTTTAAAGTATCCTGGGATATACTGTGTCTCATCTAGTTTACTGCACAGCTATTCTTTCCAAAATAGCAAACCGTTTTATTTTTTAAAAATCACCTCGATGTAATTCCAAGAGCAACTGGGATGACTGTCCAGCTCCAGGTGTGTGAAATTCAGATGGATCTTTTCACTGGGTGGCTGTTGGATGATGTAGATGCACTGCCGGTTGTAAAGATAAGAATTCGGCCAGTAAGGGGACATGATAACCCCGCTGCTGTCTGTATAATTTCCTCCACAGTTGGGATCAGCTGTGTTAATGAAAAAGAAATGGTTGCTTCTGGCATCCAATGCCACATGCCCACAGGATTCATTCCCTAAAGAGCTACGGGTCGGCCCAAGATAATCCTCTGCTTGAGGCAAAGGGCAAGCTGCTGCCCCTTCCCATTCCACATAAAAAGGACAGAAAGCTGGATCTCACTTCAGTGCTTGTAGTGGGACAGGAATCTACAGGCAGGCTGTAGAGCCAAGTTGCATGGCCTACACAGGAGCCAAGTTGCATGGCCTACACAGCAGGTTGCCACCAGCAGCCTGGCACCTGGCTCCTGGGACCCGATCACCTTGCGGGCCTGCCCTGAACGAGCTGTGTCACGCTTGCACAAGAACACTTACCAGGTGCTGTTGTGTATGTGATATGGAAGCCTCTGTCACTACCGAAGCCATTGGAATGGAAGTGGACCCAGCCGTAGGGACCGGTGGTTTGAAGAGGTGGGGGCAAGCTAGTACTGCAGTACTTTCCAAGGAGGGGGTCCTGAGGGAGGAGACCATCCCGAATCTAAACAAAGGCATAAGCACACATATCCTCTGTCACAGTCACACACCATGAAGACATATATATGGACAGATGTTGAACTTTCCCAATTCATTTAGTCCTGCCGTCTTTTATGCTGCTCTGAAATTCTGAGCTCTTGGTTTATATTTGTTGTTTTATACTATTCAGCTCTTGTTTACTTGTTTGTTTCATTTACCCTAGAAATACATGAATGAAGGAAAAGCTTATTTGTACTGAATCTATATTATCATTCACATACATTTATACCCTACCTTTTTCCACTAGTGAGAAACCCAAGGCAGAGAGCCATACACACACACATGCATGAATTGTTTGAATTGTGCATCTATTATTCCTATTTATTGTTATTGTTCATGGATTGTTTTCCGATTTTAATGTTGTAAGCCATCCTGAGACGTTGTAAAGGACAGCATATAGATGTTTTAAATAAAATTTTAAAAAATTCTAGTGGTCAGTCCCCTTGAGCTCAAAGGGACTTTGAGTATATGTGCATAGAATTTTATCATACACCTCCAGGCTAGCTTTTGAATTACCTTGTTTTAGTGGTTGTTAAAACCATTTTAGGGCTTAAGTGCAAGAGCTGCTGATGAGAAAATGGAAGAAAAACTGGGTTGGACATGTTCTGCTGTTCCTAGAAGCTTGCTAATGCCATGACAAATACTGTCAATTAAGGGCTTTATAGAAGCAACAAGGAGAACAGTCCTCGGTGGGTTAGGAAGTTAAGTGCCATTTAAGAGTGTTATATAAATGAAGTTGTGGACAAGCCATCATTCCCCAAGCCCTGCTTGCTTGCAGAAAGGAGGAGGCAGTCTTCTCCTGGTGGTTTTTCTGTCTGTTCCTCACACATGTGAATTCTAACCTTCACCCAGTGTTTCTTTGTGGGAGGTTATTAGCTATGCCAGCTTTGTGCTGGTGGCCTGATTCTACCTCCAGAATGTCACCATTTGGGGCCTACCATCATCTGGAGACCCCAATCCTCCAGGACAAAGCTCACCCCTGTGACCAGCTGTGCTCCTCTCCCCAGGCAGAGGGGTGGCTTCCACCACATCCCAGTTCCCTCCAGACAGAGGAGCTGTACCTTTGGATTTCTCCACTCAGTATTAAAGATAATTCTAGTTGTAAAGATCATGGAATTTCTAAGCAACATGGTCACTGAAAGTCAAAATGTTAGAAATTACGCTATTACTGCATTCTCCTGTCCATGTTTAGTGAGAAAAAAGCCTGACAACATGATTCGGTGCTGCATGCTGGGAGCTGTAGGGTGCATGGGGCACAATCCTATATGTGTTCAGAAAAACAAAATCCTACAGCCACAGTTTCTCTCCAGCCAAATGGGCTGGAAACAGCAGCACTCTTTTCTGTCTATAGAGTACACCCATATTAGCTATTTAAAAGTACTTTTTCACCCCCTTTTTAAAACCTCCGTATTGAAAAGAATAGGTCTTTTAGTCCTTTCTCATTGCATGGCCAAGGGTATGGTATTACAGCTCATGCAGTATTTTCACTCACTAAAGCTAATCTCATAGGAAACGTTTCAGACACAACTGAAGGGGATAATTTTTCTGTAGACAGAGATAAGAACTTACTGTTGAAATACTTTTTAAATGTTTATTTTATATTCTGTCCCTTCACATAGCTTTTCTTATTCATGACAGAAGCTCCAAAATGATTCAACATATCTAGGAAATTATTGTGCTTGTCCTATAAGGCATGTTTCTTTTAATATTACTTAGATGACATAACAGGAACAATTTGTTTGCAGTCATATTCAGACAGCAATGAAAACAAATCTTTCTTTGCATCTTGTTTCAAAGCTTTTGGCATCATGCCTTTGCTTTATTCATTTATTTGAAGCAGTAGATAATGGCACCTGTGCCATCTAGCAGGCATTTGTTACATTTTCTATTCACAGAATTATTTCTCTGAACATATGGACATTTCTCATGAAAAATATAGATCAATGTATGTTGTTAGTCCTGCACAGTGTAGATCTGTGGACTGGATAGGGCCTGCATTAGTCCATTGGCTTAAGTATCAATGAAACTACTCTATGGAGGAGTAATGCTAGAGATAAACCCTCTTCAGATCAATTGCCTCATGCCATTAGAATCTCACAAGGACAAGTGGACTTGGGCACATGACTGTTTCCCTCCATGGCCATCCTTGCCACCTTCTCCCATCTCTGGCAGAGCATCTGCATTCCTTATCCAAATGACTGAAGCATGGAAGATGGATCAGAGTTGTTCTTTGTTGGTCCAGAAGGCTGGACTAGAACAAATGGGTGGAAATGGCAGCAGAGCTTAGTTTGACTATCTTAATTGCTCAGTGCAATTGAGCAGTTGAGCAAACTGCTTTGAAGGGTGGTGTGGGTTCTGTATTTTCTGTATTTTGTACAGAGCCTTAAGCAGAGTCTCCACAGCCATCTTTTAGGGATGACGAAATGGTATCCCACATTGTGGAGCCTGCCCTGAACAAGAATTTGGACTACACTAAAACAAGGCCCCTCTTCCAACTATGAATTCAATCTGCATCCACTCCATGCCCCATTTAGAACTCTGGAATCACTGGACTAGAAAATACACCCCAACACAGTTGCCTACCAGTTCGGGGAGACTGACAGGTAGGGTCCCCTTCTACTTATGCAGGGGATTTAAGGCACAGTCTTATGCAAGTTCAGACAGAAAACAGACCTACAGCTCCCAGCATGCCCCAACTCTGTCTCAACAAGCATAGGATTGCGCACTCAGAACACTTGAATGGGGCTATAGAGTTACAACTTGTTTCCTTTTGAACCTGTATTCTCTAACTCCCAGGCTCTAATTCACAAATATGTGAGAAGGAAGTAATATATTTAAGTGTGTAAATCACAGTAAATCCCCAGGCATATTCAGAGAGAGAATAACTTTCATCTCTTCAACCCTTCTGACCAACACTTCTGGTCACAGAGTTACTGTAGAGCAGGGGTCTCAAACGCGCGGCCCGCGGGCCCATTGCCAGGACGGGCGGGGCACGGGGGAGGGGCCCTGCGGCCTTCAAAGCGCCGGCGGCGCCCAGGCCGGCCGTGGGATGAGCGGCCCACCACCACCGCGGGGGTGGAATACTTGATGCGGCCCAGTCTCACCCAGACTCTACTTCCAGCGGCCCCCAGGGAAGTTGAGTTTGAGACCCCTGCTGTAGAGGGACATGTAGGTGAAGATCACCTCTGTCCACCTCTGTGTCCCACCATCTCTGCAAAGCAGCTAGGCAGCCAGTTTTGGTCATCTAACTATGTCGCTTTGGAGAGGGAAGGAAGGAAACTGAGGCACTTATCTGGGTAGTGCCGATGTCCCCTCGCCCCCTGAATGCTTCATAAACCCCTTCTCCAAGGTTGTTCTCACAACCCTAGAGAAGCAGCCAGTGCAGATTCCCAACCTGTTTGAATCCGTGCAGATTTCTCCAACAATCCTACTCTTGTGGGACGCAGTCCAGTGTTGACTAGGACCGGAGGCACGTACAATGGGGCCAAAGTACCAAACATACCAGTATATTTTTACATAAAGCTCTTAATTTGGGGAACTTGGGACAACTGGATTAGTCCCATGGGCTGAGGTGCAATAGATAGCACTATTTTAAAGGTACGCCTCCCTGAATTTGAGGGCTAAATGCTATCTGTTTGGTGACACCATGCAGCAGTACACAAATCTCGAATTGGACATTGTAACCACATGTTTTCTCCTGATATAACTTACCTCCAAATAGTCCTCGCTGCAATTATCATGGTGTTCAAGACTCAGTGTGCCAAATGCAAATGTGATGAGAAGGCTGGGATTGGTTGAGAGGGTCCAATAACAATCCCTGTTGGGAGGGTAGTTACCAGGGTAGCCAGGTGAGGAAATTGAGCCATAAGTACCGGTCAGTTCAGCACCACACTCTAAAATGACAGGAGGAGAAGAGGGAGAAAACTTCTTAGCTTATTTATGCATTCACCATACATCAAGTGCCTTGAAAACAACATTTCTTAAGGTTCCTTAGGACCTGGTTGGCAACAGTAGCAAAGATCCAGATGCAATAAGTCCTGGCCTGTGTAATTTTTCAGAGCACCTGAAATACTCTGTGAGCATTCAAATACCCTGGGTAAAGGGCACATCTGCTGCTTTTAGACTTCAGAAGCTCTGCAGGCTGGTCACTTGGCTGCTTCCACCAACAGGTAAACCTTGGGTGGGGATGGAACAGGGCTCAGTGTGATGGGTGAGAGAGCTTCTGAAGGACCTGGGTCACTGCTAGGAGTGTGGCAAGCGTTCACATCTCAGCAGGGGAAATAGCTCTCATTAGCCCCTGTTTGAGCTATGGAGATGTCATTATGTGTAATAACAACCAGGATTCCCAATTCCCTGGAGCATCCAAGGCAGCTCTGTATGTCAAATGGGGAATCTCTGTGGGTCAGATTATTCTTGCATGCTGGAGGTTCCCAAGCCCAGTCTTATGGACATTGAACAGAGCGCATATTTGCCGTATATGACAAGCCCTATATGGGCTTCATGTTCTTTCATATGCAGAAAAATGGTCTTAATAGAAACTGTGTGAACACATAAAGCTTCCGTAAGATATTGTATGTGCTTGGAATGAGTAAAATGTTCAGCCATGAACCAAGATTGTGCTCAGAAAAGGCCTGTTTTATAGTGAATATTCTCAAAACAGTGTGACTCACTGACTTGATCTCTGCTTCATTTGCTACTCCAGGTTTTGCCCTTCAGCACTTGATCCTTTCAAATGGAGCCAGAAATGAAGTGACTTTTAAGAAGCAAATTCCTGCCCTTACCAGGCTGCTGAGATTCCCAGTGAACTGTGAACCTTCCTGCATTGGCCATGTGATCAGAGTAGAAAAAGAAATACAGAGAATTGTGACTGCTGGAAAGCTCTGCTGGGGGAGATGATCCACAGTATTTTCCCAGCATGTTGGCTGCTGTTGACTCTCCATCATGAACCTGGAGAAAGCTAGACCTGCAGCTGGTACTTTCTTCCAGCTGGAAGACTGGAAAAGTGATATGCAGGATCTAAACAAGAAAGAATTGAGGTCAAATCAATTGGCATGTTTTTCTATCTGTAGGCTGAGTGAGTCTCAGTTGCTAAGGGATGATTAGATACTGTTTATACAGTTACACTGTGCAGATTAGATACCACACCTGTCCACACAGTCATGTATTTCTATAATTTCCTGAGAAACCCCAGAACAAGCAGAAGGATTAATGAAATCTAAAGGTCAAGGGAAGGGAAAAGAGATAGAGCGAGACTTTGAGATAGACAAAAAACTTGCCTAAAGGAATCAAATCCCAGACACTCCTAATTGTTTCAGTAACCTGATAGCTATTGGGGATCTTGGATTATCTCATTGCCATGTTCCTTTTGAGGATACCGCAATGTTCCCTTGAAGTCTCAAAAAGGACTTTACTAGCTAAGCAGTTCAGCTGCAAGAGTAGGGGTATATGGCTCTCCAGATGTTCTGGTCTAAAACTCCCATCAGCCCAACTGGTATAGCCAATGGTAAGAGATCATGGGAGCCGTAGGACAAAACATCCGGAAGGCCACATGGTGCCAACCCCAGTTTGCCATTATGCAGCAAAGCAACAAGATCAGCTGAGCTGACCAGCATCTGCCTGCTTCACTGCATACCCAAAGGGTGCAAAAAAAAAAAATAAAAAAAAATCAAATTACATCATTACATCCAAGCAAAAATTCAAATCCCATTCTTGAAATATAAGCTTGGCCTTTCTCCTAGTCCAGGCTTAGTTATCAGCTCAACAAACCCACATTTCTGAAGTATTGGAATGAACTGATCTGCAGCAGTTTGGATGCCACCATCGCCACCCCCCATGTGAGGAGAATGCCTCCCCATTCATTCCTATTTATGCCCATTCCCATCATTCAGCATGTGCACCACTTCTGTACAGAAGTCCATTTTTAAACTCCGTGTAAGCAGTGTCGGTTGCTGTTATTTACTGTCATTCTGACGGTGACCAGTCCTTACCTTGTCATAATCAGTCCTGATCACCCAGCTGCAGCTGACCTGCCGACCATATTGCTCACTGCCTGAATTGTTCGGGTAGCTGAACGAGCCTGAGAGGCCCAGAAGTGACCCTCCACAAGCTGCAAGTATGGAAAAGAGTGAAACAGTTAATTCCTGTCATTTGATTGACTAAAGTGGAGTGGAACTGCTGAAGGGTGGAAATATTTGCATATGAAGGTTTCCACAGAGAGAGAATCCTCTCAAGTGCTTCCTTGCATAGCCAATTGCATTGCCTTGTCCACAAGAAATGGCGTGGCAGTCGGGCGAGCACAGAAACCAAATGCAGCTCCTTTTATGAACGAGCCACGAGGTAGGAAGCCAGGCAATGTCGGCAGCCTTTTAAGACCAGAGGAGATCCTGCTGCCTTGGAGCCAAGTCAGCGCTGCAGATGGACACCTGGGGTGGAAAACAGGCCAGCACATTTCTCCTTCCTCCCACACTCTGCAGTGTCTCCAGGGTGGAATCCTACCCCGAGCTTGCTGATCATTTACCTTGTTGGGGCATCTGGCACTGGGGTCCAGTCCAACTGCTTGTGCATTCACAAGAGTAGCCGTTCACCCCATCAGCGCAGCTTCCACCATGCTGGCAAGGATTGCTGGAACACTCATCAATGTTTTCCATACACGTGGCCCCAGTCCAGCCTGGATCGCATACACAGGTATAGCCAGAGACTGTAGCCTGCACACATTAACCCAAATGAAAGAGAAACTCACCAAACCTGAGTCAGCTACTGACCTCCCTAGCCTGTGATGACTTCTGTATGATTTAGGTGATGCTGTGCCACACAGGTGCCATGTGCTAAATTCAGCCAAGAATGGGATTTCAGAACATTTATGCAAACTAACCTGAAAAAAGCTGAAGCCTGACCATTTTAAGAAATGGAGCCCAGTCATAACGACTGCCTTACTCACCAAGCTTCACATGCTAGTACTTTGCTCTGGTTATTTGAACTTGTCTTTCCTAATCAGTGCTTGTTATGAAAAAGTTGGATTAATTTTCTCTTGATTCAACAGCCCTTCCTGGAAAGAAAATTAGGCACCTGCAGTCCTATCTACTCTTACCTGGAAGGAAACAGCATTGAAAACACTGGGACTCACATCTGAGTAAACACAGGTAGGGTTAAACAGTTAATCTGTAATGCATGCATATTCTTAAAATCAGCAGATAATTTTACATGCACTTAGAAGGTACGAGTCAAGTCATGCTTTGATGCCATTGGTGTTGCACAGGCTAATAACAATTCGTGCCTAGTATTGGAAATGAGAGGCGGCACCGGCACTTACGAGGCACTGCCCATTGGCACAGGGGTTTTGTGTCTGGCAGACGGTGCTCAGTGGCGCACATCCATTCGCGCCGTAGCCACTCCCAGAGTACCCGGCTGGGCACACGCAACTGGGCACAAGGCCTGCAAAAGAGGGCTCCAAATCAACGAGGGGGAACATTTCATCAGGTGCTTTTCATGGTTTGGGGTATCTTGATTCCAAAGTGCTCCACAACTGCACAAACTTTCCTTATGTGGAAGCCCCACAAGGTGTGGTGGGGAGAAGTCACTGGTGGAGTGAGAAGTGAAAGCAGGGAAAGTCTTATCGCCAGGTACGGTGAGCCAGCCTTCTCCGGAAGCTGTTTTGGGTTGTCAGGACATGCCAGCTAGGGGCTGGTTTCTGAGGACGCAGGCCTATGGATGTTTACTCTGCCCACAGCTCCCAGCATACCCCAGAGAGCCACAGATGTCTGCCTAAACACGCACAGGATCACATCTTCCATCTACTGTTTTGCATCTTTGCTGCCACGCGGACAGGGGCTTGTGGTATTTTCAGCATTTGGTGCACCAATAACTTTGCTTATTGGGGGCTGCACCCCTGGACTTGGAGGCAGCATCTGCCACAGCAGCCCTGGCTGTGAAAATGTCTTGGTGAGGTGGTGGCAGGCAGCTGACTTGCTATTTTGAACTTCCCATATTCCCAGTTTCCTTTGGACTGAGAAATGCCTCCCTGGGACTGGTTCCTGCTCATGAGGAATGCAAGGCTGCCAGGAAATGGCCACATAAAAAGGGCAGGGCAGGCCAAGAACTTAAGAGTCTCGGACGGGAAGATGGGATGGGATATGTATCTGTGTCTATCATTCACCCATCCATCCAATTTATTGCCTACTTCATGGTATAAACTAGATCTATATCTATCATCCATCCACCCACCCATTTTATTACCTACTTTACATTTTAAAATCTCAAAACCAAGAATCTTTCTTCTTTCCCACTGAGGCCAAAAGGAACCTCAGGCTTGCTGTATAAAAGTGCCATTAAAATCATGGAGAAACTTCAAACCCAATTTGAAGTCCTGCACTGACCAGGGGATTGGAGCCAATGGCCTTCCATTTCTACGTTCTGCTATTCTATGATACTATGATATTATTTACTTCCTCTCTCTCTCTCTCTCTCTCAAAACACACACACTCACGCACACATATATTCAAGGTGGTATGGATGGTTCCCACATCTTAAACTCACCACAACCTTGCGAGGCAGGCCAGTTAGTGAGACAGTGAATGGCTCAAGGTCACCCAGGGAGCTGCATGGCTGAGTGTGAATTTGTGCCACAGGCTCCCCAGTCCTAGTCTAACATTCCAAGCACTGCACGCGCTCACAAGGGCCCACTGGGGGTCAGTTCCACAGGGCCAACAGCTCTACCAATGGGCCAAGGGAGGGGGCCAGTCGAGCAGCAGACACTGGGGGCAAGGAGCAGCAGGAAGACCTTGGAAGCCAAGCTCTGCATGTACAAATGCTCGCCGCATGGCCAACCATGAGCCCCACCCCACCCCAGCTCGCTCCCTGCTCTCTGGCATAGTGGAAAATGTTGCCCTACCGCAGTTTCGAAGTAAGATTCAGCTGCCAGTTTGGTCAGCTTCTGTGGATGGAATGGGATGGGGCCGCCATCTTATCTTTTGCATCAGGAAGCAAAATGTCTTCATTGCAGCCCCCACACAAAGCATGAGCCATTATCATTATTATGATGAGTATTACCTGATATGCTGGTACAGGCTGCAAGTGGATGACAACCTCCATTGTTTAGGGAGCAAATGTTAACTTGGGTACACACTTTCCCATCACCTTCATAGCCTGGTTTAAATAAGACAGTTTGTTACTAAGCTGCGGTGTCATATGATAGCTTCAACTTTGCTTGTACAGCCTCGCAGCTCAAAGCGCATGACAGAGCGCAGTGTTGAGTGAAGCCCTCGTTTTGCCAGGGGCAAATTCCTTTTCAGCTTTATCACCCCAGGAAGTCTGGCTTAAATCTCCCTGACATCAGCACAAACCTTCTCGTTAACTTAGTGTGGAAATCAGCAGGCGTTCTGGTGAGCAGAATCAAGTCTTATGACTTTGCAATATCAGCTGCTGTTCTTTTTTTTCTTCCCTGGATCTTTGCCAGATGTTGGGTTCCTGTAACCACCCCTGATGTCATATCACTCTGGAAGTTAAGGCAAACAGCTGCGCTCTGGCATCCATGACCATCATGGTCACAAGCCTGGCTAACGCACCCAGAGGGGCAGAATCAGATGAAGCAACGCATTGCCCAGAGCATCCAACAAACCTGGGCTCAGAAGAGAGCCTTAACAGCAGCCTAGAAAAACCCTTGCTAGATCCTCAGACTATATAATATCATCCAAAGTTTCACCCAAACATGCTGCACCTTAATACCATTTTCTGGACCAGGCACAAAGATCCTCAAAGTGTTCCATCACAACCTGTTTTGTTTGTCCAACCATTATTATGTAACCTGCTATAAAAACAAAAGAAGACCCAGGCTGGATAACATCAAAGTTCTATCTAGTCCCTACAGGAATCAGCCTGGGGCTTGTGGGAAACCCACAAGCAGGCACGAGTGCCAGAGCACCCACCTGATCACGCTGCCCAGCAACTGCTGCCCGGCAACTGCTATGCTGAAACATACTACCTCTGATCGTGGAGGAGACATGTGTGTGGAAATCATGCCTCCTCCATGAATTGTCCAACAGCCTTTTAAAGGCACCCAAATCAGTGGCCTTCACTACAGCCTGGGGTAGTGGGTAGTAGGCTACAGCCCACAGCAAATTGCATAGGTTAAGGACCGTGTGAAGAAATGCTTCCTTATATTTGTCCTTAATTGCCTGCTTAAACACAGTTCATGGGATAATTCAGGGTTCTAGTGCTATAAGAGAAGCGGAAAAATACATCCCTACCAATATCTCCATATCACGCATTATTTTGTAACACCCCAGTCCGTGCATGTTTTTGTAGACATGACCCCACTAATTCAAATGGAATTGCTCTCATGTATACTTCCCTAAGTTTGCTAATTAAGACGTTGTCAAGTAAGGAAGATGGCTATGCTATATCCAAAAGGACCACCTACACCTCTATAAAACTGTTCAAGCACCAAGACCAATTCCAGGGGCCTGACTCACACGTCCACCATTAAGATCTCCTCAGTAGATTTCGGAGGCGGGACCTTTTTACTGTAGGTTCCATTCCATTTTTCCCACAGGATGTGCCATTAGCTCTCTCACTGGTATGTTTTAAATGGTCTTGAAGACCAACAAATTCCACTCCACTTTTAAGGAAGTTAGAGCCCAGAGAAATTTCTAAACTGCTAATATATTTATATAAGTTGTTACATTACAGTTCCAGTTTTCTCTTTTATATGCTGAATGCTTTTCATTTTAATTGTGAACCATTTTGTGAGGCTCCTGTCACACATGTGCACACACACACATAGAAAGAGTATTTACTTTATTAATTTCCTGGCCTTCCTTACAAAAGACCCAGGGTAGCTAATAATTTTGTAAACATGTTATTGAAGAAGGCAGACAATTTGCAATAAAATCTGTCTTGGGAGAAATTCCTTCTCATACTCAAGTATAGGGATTAGTTATACTTGAGCTCCACAAATTGCTCTTTATTGGAATGCCCCTTAATTTATATCATCAATAAATAAAACTCACTTCAGAGTAAAGGAAGTTGTAAGGACAGGATTAACAAAGCTGTTGCACCTTTCCATTTATTATGTTCAGCCTTACATTGAACAATTCATCTGCTCACCAAAGGCAGGGAGAGACTGCACAGAATCCTGTGAGCTGATGGGAGAAAAATTATTGCTCCATCCTCTTCTTCCTGCCCACTTGATGCTAGCAGTGTAGAATCTTTTCCTTCTCAAGCATGGACATGACCCAGCCGGCTGTTGAAAGGGAGCCAAATCAGTGTGCTTGGTTGGAAAGCAATTTTAAGACTTGAGGGACCAAATGGCCACATGGGCCATGCAAGAGGAGCCATTGGGCCATTCCCCTCCCTACCTTGCATGGAAACACAGGCTACTATCCTCTCCGCAGGCCAGTAAAATTCTTTGCAGATGAGAAACGTCTGCAGACTTACTTACGGGACTGTTATATGCAGTGCAAACAGTGTGCATGGTGGTTTTCAGTGAACAGGTTTTACCTTTTGCCAAAGAACATTTGCCCTTTTTTTCAGTATGTATGGAATTAAATTCTACAAAACCTGAGCTGCAACTGGTCCACCCAGCTGGAGAAAAGCCATCGTGTACCTGGGGGACAATGGCTGCAATAGAAGGATCCCGGTGTGTTGATACACGGAACCATTGGAGCAGTCGAACAGCCTCCGTTGGCTGTCTCGCACTCGTTGATATCATGGCAACTGTAGCCATTTCCTTCCCAACCTGTGAAAAGGGAAAGATACACAACAAGCGTGTTGTGGTTTTTGTTTTTCACATAAAGGAGTGTGACCTGTGCGGCCCTTTCTTCTGTCCCCAGAAGACTTCAGTCTCTTATTGCAGCAACTAAACCAAAAATGCATCTTGCAGCTTATCTGGAGAAAGCATAAATTGCCCAGGGACATAGAGGAGAGTGACACCCCCTGCTTGTCACATCTCCTGGTTCCAAGGCTTTGCATACCCTGAGAAGAACCCCAATTCAGACTGGGAACAGTTCACCCCACTTCAAGAGGGGCCCCATACCTCCTTCTGTATCCCTCCCAGCCCGAACACATCGCTCTCCTGTCTCCTAACTCATTTGTCTACAGATTCTCCTATTCTTCAGCCCTGCAGGAGCCGAGGACTGCAAATACTGCAGTCCTGAAGAACCACAGTCAGCATCCAAGGGCGGTGGAGCCGTGAGAAACCAGGCTCTGTGAGCCTTCCTGAGGCCTCTGATGGCCGTCTTCCTTTGCTGGGACAGCAGTTCCCAAGGCAAATACTCTGGCCAGCACCTCCTGTGTTGGCACTGTCTTAAGGCAAACCAGAACAGGCATGGAGGGCTGCACCCCTGTCCACTCCTCCTGGGGTTGGGACCCAGCCCAGCCTGCCACAGCAAGTCTAACCAGCTGGCCACTGAGGTGCAGTCTTCCTCCTGAATGAGCTCAGATTTCGGGTGCAGAGCTGCTTGTCTGAAAGCGTCTCCAGAAGACAACCTGGGTCAAAAGCTTTCTTTTATGCCAAAGCTTTCTTTCAGGTGAAATGAGGGGTTGCAGAAAGATTGTTTCAGAAAATCTAAATGCATATATAGATATATGTATATTGCTACAGAGACCAATTAGATGCATGGACCTGCACTCAACCTAGCAAACAATAGCCCCAATAGGTATTTTTACCCATTACTCTTAGGTTAAAGAGTCCTCCTCACCTGCTGGGCAAGGACCACAGAAATAGGAGCCCGGTGTGTTGTAGCACCGCACTGGAGGATTCTGTGAGCAGGCAGGTTTCGGGAGGCTGCATTCATCAATATCGGCTGAACAGGCAGGGCTTCCTTGCGGTGACATCCAACCAGCATCACAGATACAGGTGTAGTTTGGCTGCGAAAAACAGCCAGAAACAGGGCAGTATGAACGACTGTGAATATCACAGGAGGAGCTGTTCCTAATACTCCTTTCATATCATTGCTCATTTCAAGGCAGACTTGAAATCACACAGTAATTTGCCTTTACAGGAATTCTGTTCCAGTTATTACCATGCTTGCACATGTGTGTGCACAAGCACACACACCACCAGCAGCTTTCGCCCTCCTTTACGAATAAAGACGGAAAGTGCACCGGCAGTGGGGAACATTGTTCACCCATTCAAGAAAGGAGACCTGTAATTTACCCAGAATAAGCCAGAGCATGTTCACCAGTAAATGGGGCAGCAGGCTAAATATGATTAAAAGCAATCAGCACAGCTTGCACTTGCATCCTCAGAGAAAGAGATGGGTGCAAATATTACAAGCTGCAAATGGGCTCGGGCTGTTTTCCCTTTGGCAAGCTGCTACTGCTGAAATCGGGGAAAGTTTGCTCAAAGATCTCCACTCACATGGCAAGGGCACCCAAATTTTTTTGGATCAGGGTGCAATGCATGCAATAAGGACATTTATCTATTTTGCATGAGAAAAGTGTAGATCTCCAGGTGTTGTTGGATTTTAACTCTCATCAGACCTTACAAACATTGCTGATGGTGAGAGGTGGTCGGATCTGTGGAGGAGGGCCATAAAAGGCCTATATATTTCCGGGGCGGGGTAGGCAGGGGTTGCAGGAATTGACCTCCTTCCTAAGATCAGAATTTGAAAAGCCTTTATAACGCAGGCAAAAAGTCTGATTAAAGAGCAGCCTGGGATACTCAAGCATCCCTTTCCCTGTGCTCACACGCTGACCTGGAGCTGCTAAACACTACAGCCCTGCATCAGGGTGGCCAACCTGCAGAGCTCCAGGTAGTCTTGGCCTACAACACAGATTATCCCTGAGCACTGGCCGTGTCGGCTGGGCAGGAAGGGGCTGGAGTCGCACAACATCCAGAGGGCTACAAATGACCTACCACTGTCCAAATGTTATGAGCCGAATACTCCTCAAAGTGTACTATCTCTTCATTGAACCCTTGCTCAGCCACATGTCCCACTGATGCTGCGTGCTTGGCGTCCCCTCCCAAGCAAGACAGTCTCTCCAGCACTTCCTGTAAGCAGTGTTATTCTGCATGGAAGACTCTAAGCACTCATAAGCCTCAAACACTCATGCTTGCTCAAACACAAGGAGATGCTGTACCCTCTCTGCCCCACTTTACCCAAAGCTTTGCTTATGAACCCTTCGGGGCCTGGCTCTGGAAAGAGGGGTGCTATGGAACTGGCCACGCCTGTGTTCTGCACTCTGAGCCCTAACTGGGCCAGCCTGCAGCTGTGACGACCTGCCCTTGGGTCCACCCTCCAGCAGGCTGGCATTCTCCATCCGAGAGACTACCCATTTCCAAATCTCCTCCCTCCCGTCCTTCTTCTGCTCCATTCCCACGGGCAGGGAGACTGGGCCCCAAGGGTGTTCTTGAGCTACTTTCATCCAGAGCAGGCTCAGACTGGCACTGAGAGATCGAGTCTGCAGGTGCAGGCCTGTCTGTTACAACAATTCCATTATCGGAGTTTGAGCCTCGTCTGGTTCAGACAACTCCCCATCATCCTCAGTCTGAGCTATCAGTCCCACCCAAACAGGCCGCTTCTCGCGCGTGCCTGGGAATCTCACCAGAGCACGCACACATTTTGTCCGCAGGGTTGTGCAGTCCAAGTGGGTTCAAACACAGAGGAACCAAGGAGGGGAGAACAGCAGGTGGTTTGGAGTTGACCAGGTCTACAGTTGACTCTACAGCTACTAGCCTGGTGCCTTACCCTCACCCTAAGCCTTTCGAAAGACTCCTATCGTGGACAAAGAAAGGATAAACAAAGGATGCATGACTTTTGCAACAGGAGACATTTGAAAGGAGAACGCCATGCTGATTGCACAACAGGCAAATTTAGGATGTGTCCTGTGTGAACAGGGTAAACAAAGGAAAGGTAAGCAAAGTAGGAAACAGATTGCACATGGGCAAACGAGGAGAAGGTTATAAATATTACAAGGCATTTAGCTTACCAATATCCATTTAGTGCAAAGGAAATGTTTTATGAAGAAAATGCCCTTGCTAAAGCTTGTAACAATAGTACAACGTGTGGAATGGAACCAAATAAATTTCTTTTCATATATTACTCAAGTGAAAAGACAATTATTGTCCCCAATTCAGCTAACATTAGTTGAAACAAGGCAGTCCTGATCAACTCATTACAAAAATTAAATCACTGCGTGACTTCCAGCGCAATCATACAATGCCAACGCAAGTCTCATTGAGATTGGTGGGACTTGCTCACAGGGAACTATGATTGCAGCTGCAGTTTCCACTAATTTCAACCATGCTGGGTCATTGTCCATCTTAAGAAGGGCTGCTTGCTTACCTGGTTGGGTTGCTCTCTTTTTCCGTCAATACAGAGCCCATGTGCACAAAGAGCCTGAGATCCCCCATGGCAGTCATCAAATTTGGATGCGCAGTGGAATCCATAGGTTTCAGGCGTACAGATGCAGCTTTTGGATAAAGAATGGATTAATGGTGCAGCATCCTTTCATTGGTCGAAAGCCCTGCTTGATGCACTGGATGTTAACCAGTTTCCTGCCATATGTTGCTAATATTATGCATTAATCCATACGCACAGAATGCTTATTACCTCCTGTATTTTCCAAATACAGCCTTGTTACAAGACAAACTCAATCAATGAAGGGTAAAGAAAGTAGGCAGCATCCAGCTCCTGTCCAGTGCATGTATGTAAAATGGGAATAAGCAATCCAGATGTTTGGCAAATAACTCCCATGAGACCTGGCTAGGATGGCCAGTGATCGGGGTCATGGGAGTCGTAGGTCAAAACATCTGAGAGGCACCAGGATGCTTCCCCTTCGTAAAAGGCATGGTGTGGTGATTGTGCACCAGAAATGAAGTAGGATCTTCCTTTGCATTTCTTGTATGGAGGGAAATGAAGAGCAAGTACTGCACTGTTGCCCGGACAAGGGTACAAGTTCACTTTCTGAGGATTATACCAAGACTGGCCAATGCAGAAACTTTCTGCTGCCTGCCAACAGAAAAAGCCAGTGTGGGACAGCCCGATGGCCACCTGCTGTGCGTTACATTTCTATATCACCCAAGAGCTGAAGCTCATGGAAACCGTTCGGAGGCCTGGGCACACGCAGCCCCAGGAGACGCGCTGCGCCCAAGTCCAGCGTTCTGGGACAGATGAGCCTTGCTCATGATCCTGTGACCAGTCAGCGGTGGCCCCTACCTTATGGACGTCTCTCCTGAGAGACACATGGCTGGCCCCATCAGTGCTTACTTTTAAGCAAGTTTTAAAGATTCACTGGGCATTAATTGAGATTTCTATGGTATTTGCTGCTGGTAGCTATTTTAAAATAGTATTTCATTATTACAGAACTTCTTTTGAACTGCTAATATTTACGATAAAAAATAAATTTCATTAATATCTGTTGAATTCTATTGCTTTTGTGCTGCAATCTGATTTAAGAATGATCTTGAAAGGTGGCTAAGAAAGGATATATCCATATCAATAGAGAGAGAGAAGAGACATAGGCTTGCAAATCTGTAGAAATAGATATAGATATATAAAACAATGGAAGATTTTTGCTTTAACTATACATTCTCATAGATCTGGTTCAAGAGCAGCCAGAAAACTGGAATATAATTTTTTTCTGAATGTTCTACATCATTAGTTGTTTGGCTTGATACATTAAATGCAAACTAACTCGGGTTACTGAGTACTCCCTTCAAGTGATGTGGTACTGATTAACTGAGATTTCAGAGTTTCAGGGCTTGGCACCCTCTCTCTTCAGAGCAATAACAGAATGGATTGTCTTTTAACAAATTGTTTATTTCAGGCCATGGGACTTATTCCCTGGTAAATGTGCTTAGAGCGAGTCTGTGTAAGCATTCAGCTTCTCTTCACTTCCAGATTCCTACTCTTCAGTCTGGGACAGATCAAACAAAGCAAACCTCCCCAGTTCAAAAAAAGGACATTTGGCTGGCACTTCAAAAAGTGTCCACACAGCCCAAATGACTAGTCAAGCAGATTTCAGAACATCAAGTCCTGCACTGACAAAAGTGCTTGAAGAGGAATTAGATTCCATTGTATTTTGTCTAAGAACATATTAATTTATCGCTGCATTCAAGCTGTCCAAGTGGAGGCTTTTGGAAACAGGAAAGTCAACAGGACTGTTCCACCAGAGCAGCATCTAAACAATGAATGAGTGAAAGATTTGTTCAGAAAAGTCCTCTGCTCTTCATTATCACCGTTATTACTATTGCAATGGCATGTAACCATTTTAAGATAATTCCAAGTACAAAGCAGGTAACACATTTTCTTAACAAGACTGTTGCACTGCCAGATTTCCAATAATTTCTATAGTATTTTTTCAATACAAAAATGCAAAGTTGGAAGAATTAATTCAGTTTGTATTTTTGAGCCAGTGAGGTTGATTTTCATTGATGAAAATGTGGATTGGAACATTATTATATTTCAGTTTTCACAAATTTTAAAATTTTGTAATAGAGTTCTCTGTATAAAAAAGGATATTCCCAGTGCTGTATGTTTAAATTGCTATTGGATGGCTGTCTGCCAGGGATCTTGTCATATTCTGGATTGTGCATGGTATATTGGGCAGTGGGTTAGACTGGATGGCCTTCAAGTTACATTTCAAGACAATGATTTTATGATCCCTTACCTGTAAATCCCAGGAATCTGTAGATCATGGGGTTCTTGGAAAGCAACAACTTTACTTTTCCACCATGCTGTGCTAAAGTATGGGCTACAATGGATTTACTAATCTTTGAGGAGCTACATTGGTTTTGCTACATACTGCATCAGGGGTAGGTGTCTTGTGGCTTTCCATACTGGCCTACAGCGCCCAAGATCTTTTGTCACTGGCTATGCTGGCTAGGGCTGGTGGGAGTTATAGGTCAAAACATCTGGACGGCCACAGGGTACCCATCCCTGTGCTCCATCATCACCCTTCTGGTCTTGCTCAGTATGACATAAATATTAATTCAGTATTTTTTTAAATCCTATCTTCATTCATTTCCATTGAACAGTCCTCTATGTCATCCACTCCTCTCTTGCAAGAATATTAAACCTGGCTGTAGGATAAGGTCAAAGGTCCAGCTAGTCCAGGATTCTGTTTGTAACAGCAGCAAGTCAGATGCCTAAGACCAGCCCTTCCACTGGGCAAAGAGGGTCAGCTGCTTCCTCTGAAAGGGGTCCAGAGGACAGCAACAGAGATGGTCAAAATGGAAGGGAAGCTCTAAGGAAAGGTAGAAGGAACAGGACAAGATTCAGCACAGGCATGTTCATACTTTTCAAATTTCTGAACCATGGTCACATGGTAGGTCTAGTCATGCCTACAGGACAAGATCAGATTGAGTGGTCTTCCGTTACAGGAGGACGTATTTCCATTGAATTTTAGGAGTAATACCTGAGTAGTAATAGTAAAAGGAGTCCACCAAAGGACACCAGAGTGGTAGTTACTCTTCTTCACTGAAACCTTCAAACAGAGGCTGGACCACCATCAGCTTGGATATACTGGAAATCCAGGTTCCCTGCATTGCACAGAGGGTTGGACTAAATGTCCTACAAGCCTTCCTCTAACCCTATAATTTTATTACTTTAATCTCCCTAACATTTGTTTTAAACAAAACAGCTCTCAGGAAAGTACCGAGAGGCCCTGAGTTACTGAAAAAAGTACCTCTGGGGCAGATTGTGGTAGCTGAGAAGAATTACTGCAGCCCTGAATTAATCTGTGTAAAAGCTTGCAACTCATGACAAAGCATCCCAGCACAGGAAGCATGCCAGGCCAATATTTGCAGAGGGAATGGGATTTTTTGTTGTCATTATTCCAAAGACAATAACAAAATGCTCTGTGGAAAATTCTAGCATGTTGCTTTGTTAGGAAAGCCACTTTTTAATAACGCAAGAAACTGCTTTTAAACCAGAGAAGCTGGAGAGCAATGGAGTGATGTAGCAATGAATGAAACTGCTACTCAAGAGAGGGGGATTTTGTCTTGCTCTATACATTTATGGGGCTGGTGATCTCTTTCGAGAAGCTGTGATGGAGGACCTGGTATGTTTCTTTCCTCTTCCTATACATATAATGCAATGTATGAGAAAGGGACTCCACACAGAGCAAAGGGGCATAACTTCAGGCCTCAGAGCCAAACCCAGTCCAACTGGGGTGCAATCTGAATCTCCAGAGCTCCCCAAATGGTCCCACTCCCTTTTCCACAATTACATTTACTTGGGCGATTTCCCAGCTCTTGGGCATTTTGCACCCCAGTCTAAAAGGTAGAAATGCAGTAAGAACTTTAAGTTATGTTAACTTAAACTATGTATTCGTACTTCTGACCTTGGCCCTTTTACCCTCGCTTTCAGCTGCACCTGCTATGTGGCTCCCAAACCTGAATTCAGCCCTTGGGCTGAAAGAGGTTCAACACCCCTGAAACAGAGGGATGGTCTATGCCATGAGTCCTCAAACTACGGCATGTGGGACAGATCTGGCCCACCATGCCCACTCATCCGGCCCACGCCGCTGCCCCCCACCTGCACATGTGCTCGCCACGCGGGCGGGAGGCGGTGGCTTGCTCCCTCCAAGATGGTTTTGGACTCATTGGGAGATCTCCCAGCAAGTTCCAAACCGTCTCTGAGCGAATGAGCCGCCGCGGCTGCCTGCCTGCCTGCCTCCCTTGAGCACACGCTCTCACTGCTGCCTTGCAGCGTGGGCTGGAGGCGGTGCCTTGCTCGCTCAGAGATGGTTTTGGACTCACTGGGAGATTTCCGAGTGAGCAAGCCCAACGCCCCCTCATGGGCTCGCGCATCCAGCCCCCTCCCCCCCCCCACCGGCCTGCACGTGTAGCCGCCACCTTTCAACTGGTTCCTATTGAAAAAGTTTGAGGACCCCTGGTCTATGCTACTCTTCTCTCTGTTCCCATAGACTTCAAAACGTGGGAGAAAGATTGCATGAATATTATAAGAGATGGTGTCTTACCATAGTAGGGAAGACCTGTTGATTTGTGTGCCTGGTGTGGTCTGCTGATGGGAATTTTAAAGTCCCATCACTCCCTGCTTATGGTTTCTTATGGTACTTTAAGTTGGACTGGGACTGGGTAGCCCTTCAAATGGAGGACAACTTCAAACAGAGGACTGACTCTTGTATAGAAGGGTGCCTGGCCATCCTGTTCTTCCACCAGCAATAGCACCACATGGCTGGATTCTCTGTTCTTCTCCTGACAGTCAGAGGAGCCTTGGTCCACGTATTGTTCGTTTATCATTTCTGCACCCGCCAATAGCACACGCATACACTCTATATTTATAACCTAAAAGTTAGTAGTGCTCAGCAATGCTATGAGGTCTGTGTGAGCTCATTAGGCGTTACCTGTAACTACCCTGGGTATTTACGCACGTAGCTTCATTCTGGCAGCCTAGAGGTGTCCCACTGTATATTTGGCATTCATTAACATCGACAGAACAGAATGGGCCCTGAGAGAAAAGAGAAATACAGTTTATTTCCTAGGTGAAGCAGGAATACACTGGCTCTGCTGAACTGCTGTGACCATGCACAACACCTGGCTTGCTCAGGTGACACATTAACACAGAAGACAAATTATTTCACTCTCCCTTGCCTCACATGGATGTATAGCAGGTTTTCACTTAATTTAAAACAAAGGTGTGTTAAATTGGAAGTGTGCAGGTCCAGGGGGAGAGAAATCATGCATGGTTAACCCTTCAGCCACTGATGCCAGAAAGGCAAAGAAGCACATTTGTGTGTTTACTGTTATTCCTGGACCACCCAGGAGCTGACGCTTTTTGTGTGGCAAGCAACAGTTCATAAATACAATAAAGTAAATATAAAATAATACAATAACACATCATGTATTTACATTAAAGAATTTAAAGTCAAATGTAAAAACTGAACAGCTAAGACCAGTTCCTATTTGGGCTACTGGGTGGAATAGAAATTAAATGAAGAAACAAATATTGCTAGACTTGCTAGGGGAAAAAAAAACAGCTGGTAATACCACCTCCCCCTGACCACTTCCCCTATAGGCTATTTAGGGTTGGTGCGTGCCTCAGTAAAAAGGGCAATCTTAACCTAGCAGAGAAAAGATAGTAAAATTGGCACCAGGCAGAACTTAGTGGAGAGATCATTCCAAAATATGGGGGCTACCACAGAGAAGATCCTCCACCTAGTTGCCACCAACTGAGCCTCCTTTGGAGGTGGCATTTAGGGAAAAGCTGTAGATGTTGACCAGAATGTCTGGGTACTATTGCAGTTGGAAGAGGGATTCCATCAGGACTTCTGGTCCCAAGCTATGTGGGGCTTAATAGAATTTGGGAGTGAGAAAGACAGCTGCTTTGGGCACATGTTCTCAAGTGTTCCTGGCTGGGCTTCAAAGAATCAGAGGGGGAAGGAGAAGTGGGATAGGAGCGGGGGGGGGGGCTGGGAATGTGGGCCATCCCAAGATACTGAGATGAGAGAAACAGAGATGCTTATCTCAAGACTGGATGCCCCAGGTGGGCAGACAGTCTCTGGGAATAGCCAAGATGTACAGTTGGCTGGAGGGGGCTCATAGCAGCGAAGTCTCCTGTGCTGCTTCAGTGCTCTCACCTCCAGGGTATAGCAAGCTTTTGTATACGTTCTACTACAGGAAGGAGCTCAGGAGGGATCAACTGCCTGGGTCATCTCTGTAGTCCAGAGATCAACTGGGGATTCAACAGAACTGCCAACTATTATCAACCAGAAAGGGCCCTGTGGAAACCATTAGCCCGCAGGGTGGATTATTTTAATGGGACCCTCCCCCTTGTAGAGGGCAAAGGTTGCCATTAGTCTAAATTTCAACAGGCAGTGATCCAACCATGGCAAATGGTCCAATTCAGAGTCCCCACTTTCAATTCACTATCTCCATGCCCAGCTGGAAACCAAAGCCAGAGTGTTTTCCACTGCATGTGTCAGTCCAATAACATGTTGGGATAGCCTCGCGATTGTCATGGCATCTATGCAATCCTGAGCCAACCCAGATTAGGTTTTCTCAGCATAGGTGTTAATGTCTCCGAGGACCACCAGTCTGGGGGACCTCAGCATCACAAGTGCTGACTGGACCAGCAGTTGACTCTTACCCCAACACTGATGATGGCACAGTATCCCCTGCCCCTCCTACTAGCAGCCAGTGGCTTAGAGGCACAGGGCATTGATGTGGCACAGCCGGATCTTGCCTCCACTGTCATACCACCTCTGCCTGCCCCCACCCAGCACTGATTACTGCAGGTAGTAGACTCACTCTGCTGAATGATGCAGCCACCCTAGTGCAGCATATCACTTGCATAAGTGAACTGCAGAGTGGGCACTTTGAAAGGTGCATCAATTCCACTGGTGTAACTCATGGTGCAAGGATCTGCTCCTTTCTAAACAACACTGCTGTTGAGTATTGCACTTTATACATCGCACAAATTGAAAGATGCTAAATGGCTACCTTACCTGCCAGTTGCTGGGGCAGAGACAAAAGAAAGAATCCAACAAATTGATGCAGGTTCCAGAATTCTGGCAGGGATTACTGCTACAGGCTTTTCTCAAGAAGATCTGGAGGATAATGAGAAAAAAAAACAAACCCATTCTGTTAGCATTGCTGAGACTTTCAATAATTTCCAAAGCTCTGTAAAGGGCTAGGATCTATTTAGGTACTGGTAACAGCAACTCAGAGACTAAACCTAGGATAGGAGTGAATAATGAGGGATATCCAGTTGCTTTATCTGCAGAAATATCTGTATCTGTAGATATTTCTCTAAATGAATCAATATTTATTTTTATCTGTATTGTCTTCAGTCCACCCCCCACCATCATCTTTCTGAAACACACATCATGCATAACCCAGGACTGAAGGCATCTTGTCTGGCTGCACAATTTAGATCTGTGTGATTTAAAGTGCATAATATTTTGCCTTGTTCCATAAAATTACTCACTTGCTCAAAGGTTTGAAGCCTGCTTTCTATATCCCCAATCTGCAACAGAAACAAGTATTTGGGAATTAGAATGGTAAATATTTGTCATATTTCTTTAGGCACATTGCACAGACTAAGAAAGCAGAATAGATTTCCAAAGAGAAAATATTTCAGTAGCATTGTGTGTTCACTGCCATGTGTGGTAGCAAATTCCACAGCAGGGCATCTGTAGACTTGTTTTCTTTTGATGGCCATGCACTGGAGATTTATGACAGATTTGTAATATTTGCTTTTTGCATTAATATGCCAACCGAACAGGTGGCAGTGAAAAAGCACAGAAGCCTGCAGGACTGCATATTTACCAGCAGAGTCCTAAAGAATTCCTGTACCTCAGGAGACAGTCCATGAATTCAAAGATCTCTCTGCTCCTCTATTGCTTTTCTTCCAAGATGCTGCTTTGCACATCACACACCTGTTCCACCCCCTAAGCTGGAGAAGTACCACCGTCTTCTCTCCATGATGGCTATGCAAGAGTCCCTTCTGCCTGGACTGTAAGAACTTCATGGCGGGCTCTTTGTAGCCCTACTATCAGAGGCACATTTGGTGGGGGCTTGAAAAAGGTCTTCTCGGTACTGCCCTTCCACCAACAGGCAAAGGTGTTTTTACCAAATCAGGCCTTTGCATTATAAGCTGGTCTCTTGCAGAAGGATTTTGTGCTATTTATTTCTTTTACTGTTTTTCCTTTAGTGATATTTTAGAAGGATTTGCTGCTATGTTTTAATTTCCATTTTGTTTTTAAGCTAGATTCTGTTCTTTGCCGCTTGGGTGCCATTTCTGGCAGAAAGGCAGAATACATATAAACTAAATAAATATATGGTTTATTTTACTTAAAGTATTTCTAGGCCACCTTGCAGGGCAGAAAAAAAATCAAGCCTTTTCAAAACACTCCAGACCTATCACACCATTCGGAGACTAGCATCTCTTCATCTACAAGTCATTCAGTACCTCAACGTTCCATCAAGGTGCCACCCAAAGATCATTCTATATCTGTTGTTTGTCTCTTCCAAACTGCTTAGATGAAAGGGCAACCCCTAACTCAGAGCAAAGAGGTAGGAGAGTGATCTGACCACGAAGGACACAGCACCGTCTCTTCTCCCAGTGGTAGATCACATTCCCTCTGCACAGGAGAATGGGAAGGCTCTTCCTCTGTTCTCTGCTTGAATGGTGTGTTCGGGTGTGAATGGTGGGTGTGAATGGTGGTGATGGGTGAGAGAGAGAGAGCGAGCGAGCGAGCGCAGGGTGGCCCCTCCCACTGTTGGCATGTGGCACCCAACATGCTTCTGAGGGGCCAATGCAGCCTTTTCATCAAATGATGAGGATGATTTCCCACCTCTGGACGGTTTGTACTATCAGTTCCCTGATGCAGCATCGTCACTATCTAATCAAAGCTCTCTGAGCAGTATTGCTTTGGATTGTTTCACCCCCATTTCAGAATGGACGAAGGACAGGGAAACAATATCTATCCATATTTGCCTTTTTCGTGTTTCTTTCCTAGATTCCTAGTACTACATCTCCAGAGTTCTGTAGATGTCCTATACTGTCCGTTAGTGGCTGGTGCAATAAAATTTTCTTGATCTTATTTCACACAGCCATACAAGGCACTTAGATTTGCTTCTAAATAAGCTCTTAGTCTATTCAATATCTTCCCAAGGCAGAGCACTGAGTAGCTTATGTCAAGAATGAACGGACCATTGACACTTGTTGATAGACAGATGCTTTTGAGAATAGTCCTCTATTTTTACCATCTTTCCACTAGATCAGGAGTTAAGCACAAGTAATTAATTTAATATCTTTAAATTTCTGAAGATGTGTATAATTTACATTTTTAAAGAATATAACTTAAATGGGCTTCCTATGCTGATCCTGGCAAAACAATCAAGCACGGCTGCTGCACCACCAGGAGAACCATCTGGGGGGAGTGGGGAGGAGAGGCCTCCCTCCTCTCCTCCCCACTCCCCAGAACATCCTCAGAATGCTGGTTGCAGAGTTGGCCTTTGACTCTGACGCTGCAGCCAGCACAGTTCTTTCTGAGCTGCAAGGGCAGGAGGAGGGTGCCCCAAGGTCGGCATGCATTTCCAAGGTCAGAGCTGGCACTCCAGCCTCTCCTATGAGCATCTAGACTGGGCTTAGGAGCCCCAGGACTGCATCCTAAAGCTTGGCTTCAAGTCACAACAAAACTTACCCGTGCATTGATACCTACAAAAACAGCATGAAAGCTATAAATAAAGCAAATGATTACTCAAAGAATGATTAAAATGCAGCAAGCAACAGGCTGGGTAGCAAGATCAAAGGTAGCCCGAGACATTTTGCTAACAGCGATGAAAGGCTGTATGTCCAGCACCATTTCACACACTGAAACTGACCGAGCTGGCAAGCGATACTTGTGTCAGCACTGCTAATGGGAGACTACACTGTTCCTATGCTTAGGAGGCACAGGACTGGACTCTGATAACAATCTTGTGGAAACTGTCTTTTTGATATTTGTATTCAACCAACTCTTTCTTCAAAGCTCTTGGGTGTTCAGTTACTTTAAAAAGAGAAAACTAAGCTCTGATGAGCAACTGCAATAATACATCCAGATAAACCCAAACATTGGAGAAAAATATGAATAAATGGGATCTGAAATTAATATGCCTCTGTTTATAGATTAAATAAATGCAGTGCTTTTACAAATGGGCTTTCATTCATGGGGTTTAAAGTGCGGGATTCTCAACCAGGACATCAAATTTGTTTCGCACATGAAATAAGAGAAGCAATTCTTTTCAAATGTCAGAGTGTGCAAAAGATATTTGTTTATAACATTACAGGATTTTAAGACTTACCTTGGAATGCAGCTGGATGATCTGACTGGAAACATTCTGAAGGAGGCTAGTGGTTCTTTTTAGTTCTAGAATCTCATCTTTGTTCTTTTGGATCTACATTTTTGAAGAAAAGGACAGTTTTAGAACACTGAAAAGTATACATTTTTTCAGAGATGCTTAAGAAATGGATAAGAAGAGTGATAACTGCAGAGCACTGCTGTTGCAGACACCATGAAACCAGGATCATGTGGATCAGTTCATCTATAAATGACGTTCTAGATATTTCTACAAAGTGTACTCTAGAACCAATGGCATGATTACTTGTTCCTCGGTGATGCATGGGGGCAAGGAAGGAATGTCTTGCTCTCAGACCTGGAGGCTAAATCCAGTCCTCTTGGGTCCAGGGTTCCTGAAATGTCCACACTGCTTTCCCTCCCCGCCAACCAAAGTTCCTTCCCTGGTTTTGTGCTGCTTTTCCCATTCTAAAAGACTGAAATGCTGCTCCTGGGCAGTTCCTAGCAGTAAGAGCTTTAAACTACAATATGCTGATGTTTCTTGTACCTTGTATACTTTGTACCCTGCTCATTTTGGCTTTGTCTTTGCCCATCACTGGAATGTGGCTCTTGAGAACTTCCCCAAACTGGAATTTGGCCCCCAGACTGGAATAGGCTCTGCATCTCTGCTGCAGAGAGAGAGATCTACTGTCACCCACCCATCCTTAACATCGGGCAAAGGTCCATATAGCCACCCCAAATATTTAAAGAATGCCTAGAAGGCACGTGTGAGGAGCTCATGGGGCCACTCAGGATTTCTTCACCTTGTATGGAGGTCTGTGTGTGTACTTCCTCACGCGTTGGCCAGATATGCGGATGGTGGGGTGTCTGTCTACCAAAAGAGATGGTTGTGGGTACAGCAGAGCCAACTCCCACGGCTCCCCATGCATTCTTCCAATGTGTGATAAAGGTTGTGTGCCTCCCATAAAACGGGGATGGGGGGCAGCTTTATTGTTGTTGATGTTGTTATAATAATAATTTATAATATATTATATTTATATCCCACCCTTTCCCCTCTTGCAAGCAGCTCACTGTGGCCTACAAAGTTCTCCTCCTCCCTATCTTATCCCCACAACAACAACCCTGTGAGGTAGGTTGCACTGAGAGTCAGCGACTGGCCCAAAGTCACCCAGTGGGCTTCATAGCCAAGTGGGGACTACAATCCCAACCTCCTGAGTCCCAGTCCAACCATCCAACTACACCACCAGATCCAAGTGTTTTAACAGCACCGTGACCTGAGCCAGGGCCTAAAATTCCATGCGGGCTCTTATTTGTGTCTAGGGCTTGATAAGGCATCGCAAGGGCTTTCTAGTTTGGATCTACCATAGGTTGGATTTTCTCTGAATTTGTACACCTGTCCTCTACTTTCCTTACTCAAAGTGAAAGTGGTCCAGGCCCAAGTTGGCATGATTGGACACTTGCTGACGCCCCTCGTCCTGCTGCAAGGACACCCACAAGGGGTCCCTGCCATGTGGCGTTTCCTCAACATTGCTCCCTGCTTGTTTGCCTTTCCTTCCAATCCAGGTGTGTGTGCGGGGGGGGGGGGTGAGTGAGTGAGGGAACCAGCAGGAAAGTAAGGGATTCTAACTCAATGGAGATTATAAGGTGATTTTGCTGACCGTCAACATTGCTGAGCACTCAAGGATGGATAAATCGTCCTGCACTGTCTTTGTGCCACTGAAGACAGAGGTTACCAAAATGACTGCACAGAACAACCTGTGTGGCTCATCCAGCAACATTCCCAGTGTATACCTAGACCTGCAGAGTTTTTTTTCCCTTCAGTTTATATCCTGCCTTTTTTCTACAAAGGGCTCAAGGCAGCTCACATCTCCTTCTCCATCTTATCCCCACAACAACAACCCTGTGAGGTAGGTTGGGCTGAGAGTCTGTGACTGGCCCAAAGTCACCTAGCTGGCGCCATGGCTGAGCGGGGACTAGAACCCAGGTCGTCTGAGTCCCGGTCCCACGCTCTTCACCACTGCACCACACTGGCTCTCAGAGTTACTGTGAAGCCGTCACGGCTGCAAGGGATGTGCTCTCTCAGAGAGGAACCACATTTGCCCTGCGACCCTGACATGAGGGAGTGTCCAGAAAGCGGTGGACCACTGGATATCCCCGCAACAGAAGTCCAGCCTTCAGGGAAGCTTTAAGATGCAAGAAAGCAGCAATGATGGTAGATGAACTGCATAAAAGGCATGGCAGGGAAAGGCTGTGAGACGCCACCATGTTCAACATTATGAAACTGCTGCCTTGATTAACCTCACTTCTCCAATATGATGCTATCATAAAGTTCAGTGAGATAGTGCATGATTATATATGAAATCACTTACTAATTATTAGCTAATAATTAGCTGACTGTCAAATGTATGGCCCTGTAATCAATCACAATCAGGTCCCCACATAAGACAGTCAGCAGTTAGCAACTGTGTGGGGAGGGGAGAAGTCACACCAAACCCTTTTCATACTATAATCAGGTTGGGGGTAAGATCAGAACAGGCAGAGATGGGTCCGGCAAGTATGTTTTGAAGAGTCTTGAACCCACTGACTCAGAAGCATTAAATTGCTAATTACATTTGTACTGAAGAGAAACTGGACTTTATTTTATTTCTTTATGAGCTGTATGCCTGGCATCACGTATTCCTTCTGCCTTCTAACTCTAGCAGCCTTGCAAACTCTCCAGTTAGAGCCAGCAAATGAGGACTGGGGTTACTCTGTCCTGTTTAGGAATTTGGGCAAATAAAAGGCAGCACCCCACCGTACATTTACTGCAAAAGAAAAAGACTTTGCTTTGCTAGCTATGCTCTTCCGCATATAGACAAAACTGGGTCAGGAAGAGAAACAGGACCGGATCCTCGTGCGTAGGGAGGGAAATCAGAGTACGAAGACAAATAAAGCCTTCCACTCAGAGCTTGTACAATATCCAAGGAGAGCAGTGGGGCAAATCTTCTCTAACCATCACCCTCTTTTTCTCCTTCACGGTCTCCTCTCCTTGTGGTTGCAGCTATAAGTGGCAATTTTCCAGACTGCTGGGTGGTCCCTGTGCTTGATTGTTTGAGTTAGACATGGATCTGTGGGAAGCGGAGAGCATGGATGCCATGCAGAAAGGTAAGGGCAGACTATATCATTAGATAGCCTATACAGAGGCTGTGATTACACCTCCCTTTAAAAAAGCCTAACCTGGACGCAAGCGATGCAAATAACTAAAGACCAATTGCCAGCATCCCCTTCCTGAGCAGGTGGTGGCTGGGAAGTTTCAGACCCTTGGAGGAAATGGATTTTCTAGATCCTTTTCAATCGGGTATCAGGCCCAGCTTTGGAACGGAAACTGCCTTGGTTGCCTGTGGAATGACCTTTGCCAGGAGAAAGACAGGGGGAGTGTGACCCTGTTGATCCCCCTGGACCTCTCAGTGGCTTTTGATACCATCAACCATGGTATCCTTCTGGGTAGGTTGGCAAAATTGAGGGTAGGTGGCCCCACTCCTACTTGGCTGACTGATTCCAGAGGGTGGTGCTGAGGATTGTTGCTCTGCGCCCTGGCAACTCTGCCATGGAGTTCCGCAGGGCTCCATTCTATCCCCCGTGCTGTTTAACACCTCCATGGAACAGCTGGCAGGGGTCATCCAGAGGTATGGGCTGAAGTGTCAACAGTATGGTGACAGAACTCAGCTCTGCCGCTCCTTTTCATCAAACCTGGTGAGGCTGTGACAGTTCTGAATTGGACTCAGTAATGGACTGGATGAGGGCCAATAAGCTGAAACTCAATCCAGGCAAGACAGAGGTGCTGTTGGTGGATAGACTGCCTGCCCAGCTGGAAAATCTTCATCCTGCCTTGATGGAGTCACACTCCCCCTAAAGGAAAAGGTTCAGAGTTTGGAGGTGCTCCTGGACCCAGAATTATCCCTCTAGTCACCAGTGGACTTAGTGGCCAGGAGTACTTTTTATCAGCTAAGGCTGATGTTCCGGCTGTGCCCTTATCTGGACAGTGTGTGCGTTTTGCCACACTGATCCATGCTCTGGTAACCTTTCGCCTGTAATGAGCTCTATGCCTTTGATAATGGTCCAGAAACTCCAACTGGTTCAGAACAGGGCAGCGCAGCTGCTAGCAAAGGCTGGACCACAAGATCGCATCATGCCAGTCCTCCTTCAGCTGCACTGGCTGCCTGTTGAATTCTGGGCTCTGCTGTGTATTAATTTTATCCAACTACCCTGTGTTGTGTTTTCAGTTTTGACAGGTTTTTTTAAATGTTTTGAAATTTTGTCATTGTTACACATTTTATTTGTAAACCATCCAGGTATAGAATGTAGTAAATAAATAAAGTAAAAATATGTTGATTTCATAGCAATGCTAGACTTACTCAGGAGTGGTGCCTGAATAGCATAGGGGAACATGTACGAGAGGAGTAGAGAACGTACCACAGTCCCAGCCCTAGTGTCCCATCATCCGCTCCTCACGTGGGGTGGGGGAAGACTGCAGGGGCTTATGCACACATTCCCTTGCACAGCTGGGAATCTTGAAAAGCAGAGTCCCTAGTCATTAGAAGCCTCTGTCTCTATGCAAGCAGGCGTGTGCAGAAGCTCCCTGCAGGACTCTGCACCCGACACAGGGAAAGCCAGGCTGGTGCACAGGGGGCCACTGGGGCAGGACTAGCACAGTGACCTGTGGTTCTCAGGTGTACTCCGGTACTTGGGCATAACACCTCGCTACCATGAACAACAACCGCCCCCCCCCCCCGCACAACTCCATGGTTTTCTCACTGCCCAGTTTTGTGGTCACACAACAAAAAGGCTTGAGCAGAGGTACAGTCTAACTCATGACAACTCCCCATCTCGCCAATATTTTCGAGGTTTTCAGTGCAGCAAAATACACTAGCTACCTGGAACCTGGGTGATATTGGAGGGCTTTGTGTACTGGACCCATTTTGTCAACCCTCCAGTCCCTTTTCCATTGTTTCCCTGGGTCAAATGAGTGATTCTGAGGTTCTTGGGGTGGACATCTGTCCTCTTGTACTAGGCAAGGAAATATACCAATCCTCCCATCCTATCTCTGTGCCCTCCAGATGCACTGGACTACATTTCCTTCATTCTCACTAGTATGGCCAATGGCTATGCTGACTGGGAATGATGGAAGTTGTTTGGTGAATAAAGGTTGGGGAAGCTGCTGGGTGCAAGCAGATGGTGTCTTTGCGTCCCCATTTCTGTTACATTTGAATGTGACTCTTTGAATCTACTTCAAGAACCACTTCAAGAATCAGATTTAGATATCAGTGAAACTGTAACTACAGAATCAAGAGCATTACCTGCTTCAGGGTCTCAGCAAGATCTTCTTCGTTCACTTTTATTCTGCCATGGGATCCAGTTCTGAATTCAATATTTTTGGCCAAGCCAGTGTGGAAGACTAAATGGCCGCTTTCGGAGGACATGCGAGGCCTGGGGTATCAAAGGCAGAAGGCAGCACATGGCAATGAACTTTCCAAAGACATCATGGCACCGCTTCATCTATTCTATCACTTAAAGTCAGTTTCCACTCCAGTCCCACAAAATGAGCAAGTCAGGCTGCAAGTAACACACCAAGAATTATACTTACTGTTCCTGATTGAAGTCTCTTCTTGGTCTGTTTTTCTCAATAGAATCTGATCCATGGTTTGCACCAGAAATAATCAATAATGTCACCAGACTGCAAAGAGAAGCTGGTTGCCCCATTGCTCACTTCCAGTCCTCTTGGACTGTGCAGTGAGTTAAAGTGAAATCTGCATTATCTTCAAGGATTAACTCAGTGTTGGGTGTACTTTGCTCTTGAAGAAGTCTTTGCACATTCACAGAAGTGCTTATTCAGCCTTTTTCCTCCGGTCCCTTCACTTTGCTAGGAGAGCTGAGGATGTGCATGCAGAGGACTGGGTTGTCCCCGGAGAACTGCAGCATGGTTTGCCCTGTGTTGCACCTACCACAGTGCCTGCTATGATGATGTTCCTGGAATCCAGCTGCCTCAGTAAAATCAACACAGCTGGAAAAAGTGGGGGTTTTAAACCTGGATGTGGGACAATAATCAAACCATCTGTCAAATATTAATTCAGTTCATTTACGTCTGACTGCTAGCCCCTTTGAGTGGCTATCTGTCATTTCCATTTATACCCCTGGAACTGCTCCTGGCCACCACAGCATCTTCTCCGAGGGACAAACGGCTGACCACTGCCCGACATGGTGAGCCATGTCACTACGGCTTCTAAGTGAGGAACCGTCTGTCCAGCCTGACTCCAACCAGGGTGGCCTTTGGCAAGGAAGCGTATCAGAGGGCTTCTGGTCTCAGCAGAACTTCACCTGAGGAACAAGGTTTGCCTGAGCTTTGCTGAGTCCTGCCCTTCTGGTCTTGCTCTTTGGTTTACCTTCTGATTGTGCTTCAGTCCTGGCTTATTTTATGGTCGTACCTTCTAATTTGCCTTTTGATCCAGATGACTCTTGAAATTGGACTCCCAGTTCCTGACTTGCTCCACAGTCTAGGCCAGACTCCCACATTTCTTCCATGGCCCTCAGGGTGACTAAAAGCCCAAATAAGTACAAAGGATACACACCCAACAAAAGAGTGTATGGTCAGCCGTTTTTGTCATGTAGTTCCCAACAAATCAGTGAAGGTTTGAGAATAGAAAGGACAATATTGAACGACTTCTGTCCATCCGTCTTCAAATAAATTAGTTTTGTGGTTCACATAGTTTCATAGCAAAAGATAAGAGTTTTACCAAGAATAAAGAGCTAAAGGTAAATAATTTTTGTGCATTTGCTTGCAACAAAAGCTGGGTGACCCTGAATGCTAACTAATTCAGGGTCACATAAGACACATGTGGGTCTCGTCAGGGTCGCAAAGACACATAATTGTACGTGTCTTTTCAAGCTGAAGAAATTCTTGTAAAAGAAAACCATAAAAATACTTTACATAAATATCTTCTGGGTAAATGATGCTACTAAGCACTCACCTCATGTCCCCTGCCCCTCTATCATGGTGGTGAGATGTATTCAATCTGTGTTTAAATTATAGCAATTATTTCTAAATTTGAAACTATCCATACGACTTGGCATATGAAAATTTTATGTGAACATGTAGCCTCTTCTGTCTCACTCACTGGCAATGCAGTTCCACTCTCCGGCAATGCATCAGTGGAAAACCTGGAGGCCAAGTGTAAAGATTGTCTAGGAGGAAGATAGTTTGGGGATTAGAGGACAAAGCAGCTAACGGGTGATGCAGGCAGAGCAAGGGGCTAGTCCATGGTGTTTTGCTGCCTGTGGCAAAGGACAAGATCATGCCTTGTTTGTTTGGAAAACAACCAGACTGGCAGTTGAATCTTCACATCTGGATAGTCCTACTGCATCTGGTAGCAGTAGGGTGGATTATGATAGACCTACAGCTCTGTCCTTCAACCCCTTGCTGTGATTCTCCCAGATTTGCCATCAGAAGTAGCTGCCTTGCTACTCCTCCGAAAAATAGGGCCAGCCCTAAACAGACCCAGTAAATAGGCAGGCTGGTGGGATGGGGAACAGGAGAAAAGCTTCAAATATAAAATGAGGTAGGGAGGGGCAGGAGTGTTTGGGTTTCATAGGAAGAGAAGGCTGGGCCACTAAGCGAAGGCACAGAGCTGAGCTGAAAAGCATCAATAAAGAGGACGGGGAGAATGAGGGCTCAGCAAGAGAGCCATAATGGAGGTGCAGATTGCAGTATATTGCAGAGAGCAAATATGTAGGAAACATTTCGAGTACTGTTTTAGCACCCTGCTAAACTAGTTCACACTGCCAGTGAGACACTCAAAGGGAAATTGAAAATGGCATCTCTGGGCACAGGCCTAGAAGCTTCAAACAAGCCGAGAAAAGGTAAAAATTGTGCAAGGAAAGCGCCTCCCCCCCCATTTGTGCCAAAAGGCCTGGTTTGCAGGCATTTGGCACAGCTGTAGATTCGGGGGAAGAATGAGCCAAGGACAAAGAAGGGAGGCTGCCCACTTGGAGCCTGATTAGGTGAAGGACAATGTGTTATTAGTGGGAAGGGAATTGAATGGGAAAGGAAGCTTAGCACTGGAAAACTGTGTGTCTATATACATCTGGCGCGAACAAAGCTAACGGAATATTTTCCAAGAGGTTTAAAATAACTCCACAGTGAATATTTCATTGTTTAATCAGTCTCTCAACTTTGCAACAATGATGCATGACAATGTGCCAGCAGCATCTCGATGGACACAGCCGACCCGCAGCGGAGCCAGGATCACACTGCACCAGATGGCTGCTTTTACTCATTTGGGCAAATTGGGAGGACCTGAGCACTATCAAGAGCACTGAGCACTGCCGAAATACAGGGCTGATGGCCATGACATTGGCTGGGAAGAGAAATCTAACAGCACTGAATAACAACAAAATAAGCCGCTCCGTTTTCCCTTTATTTGTGTCTTCCATGTATTAAAGAATCTGTGCATTAAGGATTAAGATGCTTCTGGGTAATTTTGGCTCTGGATTTCATATTTCCAAAAAATGGAGGTCAACTGCTATATGTTTTCTATCCCCACATGCTCTGGAGAGTCCTAGGTGATACCTGCAACCATCTTATCCAAATCAGGCTATGCCAGGTGCTGTCTGTAGCCTCTTTCTACATCCCATCTTAAGCCTGCAATAAATACCGGCTCTAGGACCTGGATGCTATTTATCCAACCATCTTTGCATTTTTACCATCTTGAAGAGTTTTGGAGAACCCAAAAGATTGCATAATATTCTGTGATGTTTGCTTGGCCTAATAGAGATTTTGATCAAATACGGATTGCGGAAGAAAAACAAGGTTTCTTTTAACCACATACCAGTGACTGTTTGAGCAATGGGGAAGTGGCACTGTTTTCAAAATGGTTTGTACTGTAGTTTAACAACCTCTAGATGATATTAATCATACTACTATACAAATTGTACAATTATAAATCTTGTTTAAGAGAGGGAAGAGCACTCAGGAGAAAACAGACCTTTCTTGCAGAAAGTCCAAGGTCCAGACCCTAAGATCATAAAGAAAAAGGATCAGATAGTAGGAAATGTCTGCATTTTAATGCAAACATGCCTAATTTTGAACATTGGAACTAACACACAAACTGAACCAGTGATCCATCAAACTGCACTGCTCCAAATTTTGCAAAAGCACATAAAAATGCGTATGTTGAGGCAAATACTGCTAAATATGTATAACACTAGGAAAATTGCTTGCAAAATGTGTCTATTAGGCAAGTCTGCATATATAGCTCAGGTATTAGGGCTTCTGTGTACAAAAATACATACTGGTTTTCATGCATATATTAAAAAATACTCAACTTTTATGACAAACCAAATTAAGTTGGAAATATGAGAAGATGAGACAAGTCAAAACTGACAGATTTCTCCTTCTTCATCTGGTGTTCTGTCCCTAAAAGGGAATCAGTGTTTGGAATTGGCTTCTCTGGGGCTTTTTAAAACTCAATTAAATTTGAGTTAAAAAACTCAAACTGGCATCTAAGAAAAGACAACAGAATTCTCCCCTTTTCCTTACTAAAGGTAAAGGTAAAGGTTTCCCCTTGACGTTAAGTGCAGTCATGCCTGACTCTAGGGGGCGGTGCTCATCTCCGTTTCCTAGCCGATGGAGCCAGCGTTTGTTCGCAGACCGTCTCCGTGGTCATGTGGCTGGCATGAATAAACACCAAAGTGCACAGAACGCTGTTACCTGCCCACCAAAGTGGTACCTTTTTATCTACTTGCATTTGCATGCTTTCAAACTGCAAGGTTGGCAGGAGCTGGAACAGAGCAATGGGAACTCACCCCGTTGTGCAGCGACCTTTCAATCAACCAGCTCAGCAGCACAGTGGTTTAAATCACTGCGCCACCTGCAGTCCTCAAAGGCATGTTAAAATGGGGAAATGTGCTACAACTTCCAGGATTCCTCATGCTGCCTGAAATTCTGGGAGTAATTAGACTGTTCCCATCTAAATATGCATAGAACTGCATGCTAACAAAACTAGCAGAATTTTTAATCTACTTGGACAATGTTAGTTATGACAGCAGCTCTGGAAATCTGCAAATAGTTATGTTTTTCAAAATGGTATTTTAATTTTACTGATACAACTTTGGCTATGAATATCCTTTGGAACTGACAGTGCAAAATATTGCCTACCTTGCAAAGTTAAGAATAGAGGCAGATTCATTAATAAATGAAACAGCTGGCATGCCAATTTCCTCTTGAGTCATAGCTCACTGCATTCTGAAATTAGAAATGATAATAGGGAACTGCAACTACAATAATAGTGTAGCATTACAGCTCAGTTCAGTGAAGCTGCTTTAATCCTCCATATTCAGAAATGTAGGACTGTGTTTCTCTCAAAACCCGGAATTCCCAGTTAGAAAGATCAGACTCAGAATGTGACTTAGATGGAGAAGGAAAGGGGTTGGAAAGTGGCAAAAAATGTCTAAATTAATGAGCAACACTGTAGAACAGGAAGGATCTGAGAAGGAGGGGTGTGAATTCATGAACTCCATGTCAACATGAATGAACAGACCAGAAAACTAACATTCAGTGTTCCCACTGTCAGGCCTACAAGCAGCATGAACCTCCCTGAGGGTGGAGTCAAACCTTTTGGGGAAGGAAGGGAGGAAGGCTTCTTCAACTTGGAAATAAGAGCGAGAGCTGTTCCCACAAACACAGGAAAAGTTACTTTGACGCTACCAGAACAAATTACTTATGAAACATCCTATATCATAAAAAGTCTATCTAGCATGAATAAAGGACTGTGCTTTAAAAGCCTTTCATTTGAATCTATTGGAAAAGAAAATGTTAATAATATGGGTGCCAGCGCAGAGAAGGTCCTCCTCCGAGTAGATATCCTTTTTACCTCCTTCAGGGAGGGTTCTCAGAGCAGGGCCTCTCCCACAGATCTTAAGGTGTGAGAGGGCATATATAAGAAAGGAGACGTTCCTTCAGGTATCCCAGTCCCAAGCCGTTCAGGGCTTTATAGGACAAAACCAGAAGAATGCTAGTTCCATCACCACTTTGTTGACTTCTCATCACAATAAATGTTTACTGCTTATAACATCTTATCAGGAATTTAATAAATAGCAGTAGATCGCCTCTGATTTTTCTCCAGCAACATTTTCCTTTCTGGTCATTGCTCCTTCCCCTAAGACCTAGGCAGAAGAGTAAACCTACACAAGAAATGCATCATTCAGCAGCCAACCCAGTGAAAGGCAACAAGACTAAACATTCCATTTCATGTCAGCAGGAGCTGTTACATGTTTGTTTAACCATGCAGGCAAGTTAGCGTTCCATGTGTTATAGTGGAAAGTCAGAGCTGCATACATGTAGAGGCCAAGCATGTCATGAGGAGCCATGGTGATTTCTTAACCTTGGTCTGTTCTGCCATCTGAACCCAGTCATGGCTTTTTTGTGTGGCACCTTTAGTTTCCTGAAACCAGAGAGAGAATCAGTGGTTGGTTCCAAGGTCCCATGCTTCACCACAGCTTCTCTGGTTGTCTGGACACAGTATCTCCATTTTACCCTTGTTAGTGTGGAAACACGATAGACTCCTACAGAAAGAGTGGCTGCAGAAGTGACCTCTCAGCCCTCTGTCCTCTACTGTCCTCAGCTCCCTAGCAACACATGCATCATCACCTGCTTTATTCCTATTGGCTGAGCATTATGCCTGTCTTCCTGTTTACTGGAAGAAAGTGGGTAAACACAGAGATGAAGAAGAGGAGGAATCATGGCAAACGTGTTTATTATGATTTAATAAAATTCCCTTGGGGGCTGGAGTGGCAGTAGCATTGGAGAGATGCAAGTACACTTCGAAGGGGGAAGAGGGAGAACCCACCTCAGAACCTCAGTGAACCAATCAGGATGAGGCTGCTCAGGTCCGTAGGGAAGAACAGTGCAAGGAAGGAGATTTCACTCATGGGAGCTGCTGGGATGCAAGGCGAGGGAGGGAAGACAAAGTAGGAAGCATGGAAACGGCATTATCCAAGGGACCACATGATCAGCTGCCCAGTACGTTCAAGCAAAAATCTACGTGCCGGAAATAGTGCAGGATTGTTTGCCATGATATGTGAACCAAACATGCACAACACACCTAGAGCAGGGATGGTTTTGTGACAGGATCCTTCTATGCCGTATTTTCCTTGCTATCAGATGCATGATGCATTCAGGTGCAGTGCAGGCCGCAGGGCTGAAGTTCTGGTTTTTGGATCCTGTGGTGTTTCACTATTGTTTTTACTTTTATATTGTATTTCCATTAACATTTTATATACTGCTGTGAACCTTCCGGAGAGCTTTGACTTTTTGGTGGTATAGAAAAAAATAATATTAATAAGCAATACCACCTGTATGGTTCTGTTGGCAGAAGAAATTACATCAAAGGAATTGGGAAGGGGGTTCCCCCCCTGTGTGTGCATGCCCTCAAGGAATGTTCTCTTCCATCACATGAGTGGATTTCAATTAGCATGTTCTTGGATTTAACACATTACTTTGATTATCCAACATGCCCTCTCTCTGTATGCAATGGGAAGTGTCAAAACATGACTGTTCAAGAGTTTTTGATATACTGGCTAGGTGCACCCTAGCCAGTATACTTAATATTTTATGCTGTTGATTTACTCTGGCTCTACTGATCTTATTAAACACTGAGGTAGTACACTAGGAAGTGGTATGTATAAGCCTGTATGATAAATAAAGTGATTATTGCCTTGATTTCCTGTGTTTTGCCCGTGCCAAAATAACACCACCCATGCATAAGAAGAGAGGTAGCAGCAGTCTTGGGGAAACCTGAATTTTGCAGACGTACACAAAAAAGATCCTCTAAAGCAATCCAGTGTGAGACGACCATGGAACGTGAATGTCCAGTTAGGAAAGACAGAGAACCAAGCAAGAGAATGGAACAACAGACTATGCTAAAGGAGGATTCTGAATCATGTCCAGCATGCTACGTTGGAGGTCCTGGATTTGACAACACACACACTGCGCAACTCTCAAAGATGCTGTAACATTAGTTTCAATCATATCTGAACACTTGCAACATTTGAACAAGCCTTTCACAATCTCATTTATGCAGTTCCTAACATTCTTTTGGTACAAGAAGATTTAACTAACAAGCCTTTTTATTTATCCAGGTGGTATATGCAGCTAAACCACAGCCTGCAAAGAACACTATTTAATATAATTGGTCCATCTGTTATTTGCCATTCTATCTCCACCATCTCATCCTTTGGTTAGCAATTTGCATAAGGGATTATTTTAGCACAGCAATCCTGTGATTCCCAGAGAGAATCTAGAGGGGCACAGGATTGTTCAAATTCCCTGCTCCAAGTCTGGAAAGCAGCTCCAATCTCATAGCTGGATTCTGCACTCAAGAGGCCCCCTCCCCCTTGTCACCATGATTAGATTACTGTGCTGGTTGCGTCTCAGATCTCAAAAGCCTCTTTCCCTCCCCTTCCAAAGGACTGTGCTTAGATTGCCCATATCAGCCCTGTAGCTGCTCTGCAAAATAGCTCTCCCTCCCTCCACTGGGTTGCCCACAATTCCGGGTTTGGAAGGTTATACACTTCTTCATTGGATAGCCCCCAAGATTAGCCCTCTGCAGCTTCACATCCTCCAAATGTGTTGGACTACAATTCTCTTCATTCCCTGCTATATTAACCAGGGCTGATGGGAGTTGTAGCTCAACATATCTGGAGATCACCATTTTGGGGAAAGCTGCTCTAAATTTTCTGCCTAAAACATTGTCTAATACTGCTTATAAAGGTTTTCTTGCAGCATCTCAGCTGTGACAAAAGGTGCTATCTTCATTGATCCTGAATTCATAAGTGGAGAAACCACTGGAACACGTAAGGGGTTTCATATATCTTGGAAGAAAGATATATTGGACATCTAATGGAATTTGATTTTGAATAAACCTTCACAGGAAATTGAGCTAAATTTGATACTGAGGCAAGTTTCTTGCCAAGCAAAAAATCTAACATCACGATAAGTAATAGAGGAAATGTGGAAAGCAAAAGAGGAAAGTTTTATCTGACAGTAATTCATTGTTGGGTATTCTAGTTTACAAAAATGATGTACATAAACATAACATAGTTTAAGAGAGTTTAGCCAAATCTAAAGTCGTGATACGAAGGCTCTGTTGTTATAAGCCATATTTTAAAGAGACAAGCAAAAAGCACAGAAAAATCCTGCAAGGAGGAATGATGCTCTTCCACCAGGCAGCTCAGCCTCCCCCAGGGCCCTCCATGTCCCTTCCCACTTGGCCTTTCACTTCCACAAGCAAAAGTCAGTCAGCATTCTGGGAATCCCGAGTCAGTATGGTCATCCTTGTGCTGTTCTGGAGATTCCCGACTGCCTTTTCCACTCTTTTTCCCAGAAATGGATTTTGTACTTCTTGAGGTTACCTTGGAATTACCTTGAGTCTGCCCACATATCCCTCTTGCACATGGAGGGTACAATAGCTCTGAGTGATATAGAAACAAACAGACATTTTTTCACTGTTATTGAATGCCCTGTGCTATAGATTTTAAAAATGCTATGCTGCTTTGTTTTGTAAGCCGCTCAGAGAGCCCAAGTGTGGGCTAATGTAGCAGCATATGAATTGCGTTAACAGACAAGCCAATGTGCCATTGCATTTATGTCCCGCCTTTCTTTCCCTTGTGAGAAACCCATGTCAGCTTGCACAGTCCTCCTCAACTGCACTTGATCCTCACAATAACCACCCTGTGAGGTAGGTTAGGCTGAGGGTGGGTGACTAGCCCAAAGTCACCCAGTAAGCTTCGTGGCAGAGTGGGGATTAGAACCTGGCTCTCCCAGGTCCCCACCGCAACCAGCAAACCACACCAGCTATGGTGGTAAAGATGCCTGCATGCAACCAGAAATAGAGCGAGTGACAAAATGCTGCCTTATTCCAGGTCAGCTCACTTGTCCATGTAGCTCCGTACTGAGTGGCCAGTGGCTTCTGGAGGTCTCAGACGGAAGGATTTTCCAGCATCTGCTGCCTAATCTTATCACCTGGTGATCCTAGGAATTTAACCTGGAATGCAAAGCACAGACTCTGTCAATGAACTACATTAAATAAAAGCATGGGATCTCTCTACTCTACAAATTCATTTAGTGCTACAGATCAGTAGTCATTATTCTCCCCAGGAAAGCCTGGAGATGGAGAGTCTGGAGGGTGTCTCTGGCAGAATGTAACAAAGGATCTCTAATGAAAAATGCTCAAATTACAATTTCCAGGGTGCTTTGGGATAACTACTAACAACTAAATAACAGGAATGTTTTTAAAATCATACAAAGTAATGACAGACATGTATGCCTTTTCTAAAAACTTTTAGAAAAACTTTATTAAAAAACTTCCATACTCCACCTCTGTGCTTGTGTTTAGAAGGACCCAAGATGACTTAGATGTAAAAAATTGTTCTTTAACTGAACATAGACTTTAATCTTTTAATAATAAAGGTAGTACTGTGTTCAAAAATTAAGAACACAACCTACATCTCAGTTTCAGTAGCAGTCTCTGCTTCCCCAAATTGTGAATCAGATATATGGAAAGATGTTTTGTCTTCAGAAATTCGTAATGGAAGGTGACCATCAGCAGCCATGCAGTCTTACTTTACTTCCAAAAAAGAAATGTCTTCTGATGTAGTTCGATGGATGGATTCGATGGATGGTTCATTGAATGAATTCTGATATTATTTAACCAGAAGTGAGATTAATTTAGCAACTACATGTACATTGAGGCTGTTTCCAAGTAGTCGGTAACACTGTTTTGTAGTTACATTATCAGGAAAACCTAAAATAAACATAATTGACAATAATCACATTTTTAAAGCAAAGGCAGGCCTATTACATTAACTCATTCTCTCAGTCATAGGAATTTTCTCAATTCTAAATGCAATTACTCATTATGTCTTCATATGTCTAACAGTGCAATCTTACACCTATCTACTTAAAAGCAAGAAACCCAGAAGAGAGCTGATCTCTCCAATGCTGGAAAATGCCAACAGTATTCAGTGACTTTGGTTACTACTCAGAAATAAGTTGCACTGATTTGCAACTCCACAAATGCTTAGGTAACTGGGAGTACATTCCAGTAAACTCAGGGAATTTATTCCTGAGTGACAAGCAGAATTATATTGCAAGTATTCCATTATCTTGCTTTGCATCAGAACCTGCAGCAGCCATTAGAAAAACCAGCCCTTGCTTGGAATAGATCTTGAGCCTACTGCAAGCAAGGTCTGTATGGTTTTTGCATTCCTAGCGCTTACTAGTGCATATGAGTTCTACTGCTGCTGATCCATAAAATATGACAACCCAACATGAACTCTGATTAGACTCATTTAATGGATGGCTTTCAGTCTACCAACTATTCAGCATTTGTTTTTGCTAAGCTGAAAAGGGATTCTCTCAAGAATGTTCCTATTTTAGGGAACAGCTTGTTTTGCTTGCCTACTTATTGCTGTTTGGCAAAGACCAGTTTTGAAAGGTTTGGTGTTTTTTCTTTCCTGTTATATTCATGTCCAGTGAACTGTGGAAAACTGGGATTCAAGTGACTACTCCCCTAAATGCTACGCTCTGAAATCTCACATTTGCAAATGGAAAAGTAAAGTAACATCTTCTTGACCCCACACTGGCAACCACTCCTTCACATCTCACTTTATTTCTACTCTCTAGCCTAACAATAGTAGGGGGAAAAAAGAACTAGCATTCTGAATAATCTGATGTCATGCTTTTGAAAGCTAGTCACAGGTGCACAAGCATCCTAGTCAATCATAATGTTGTTTCAGCAGTCTTAAGAGACCTATTATATTAATGCAGCATCTCCCACATCCAAAAGAAAAGAGCACCAATAAATCCATTCTTAATCTCTGAAGAGACTTTGAATTGGGATGATGGACCACTTTATGCCTTTTCAAATGCACTGCAAAGTGGTCAGAAATATATAACAGCTTCATCTAACATGACAGTTGGCTACAGAGAGGGGGGCTGCACCTGGAGGATGAGTTTTTTTGTTAGCATATAGGATATGTCTTAAAAACAAGGTGCGTACCACCTTTTGAAAGGCTGTGCTGGAATGAACTGAACAAATTCAGGATAGAGCAATAGTTTTGCTAAGCTTGCCTTTGCTGGACTGTTGATTAGAGGCTACAGAAATGGATTCTTGTCTGCAGGTAGCGGCAAAGATGTACGTTGTCTTCCCCCTGACATGGGGGGGGGGGGGGGGGAGAGAAACTGACTGTTCTCACTGTGCCAGAGCAGAATCTGGTGCACCATTATGTCAGAACTATCCAAATTTGAGAAGGACAATCAAGGAAAAATTAATGCAAAGATGGGTCGTGTTTAAATGATCTATCATTCCAGTACACTGTTAAACTACGTACATGAATTCTTGCCTGCTCATTCAGCTATTTTTCTTTTAAAACCCAGACACATACCAAATTCGGGAGGAAAACCATGTAGATTTGCTATTTCTCTTGGAGTAAAGTATCGTAGTTTAAGCACTGACAGTTTTGTAAGCTTCTCCTCTTCTGGCAAACCCTCCAAAGATTTAAATACCGATTCAAGCTGTGGAAAAATACATGAATCAGCTGCTCAGAATGTACCATTACTCTGGGCTGCCCCAAGACATTTAGCTGCCTGACACACAGGACAAGTTGGCATGCCCCTTCCACACTTTGGGTTGCCGATAATGTTAGCCTAACTTTCATTCCTTTCAGCAGGTGTGCTCTGCTGGACGAACATCCTATGGCCCATAGAAGCCAAACCAGACTGGTCACTGCATTGTACTTCAATGCTGGGGATGGGACAATTGGGCATGTTCAGCCTTGAGAAGAGAAGACCGAGGGGGGACTTCATACCACTCTCAAGTTCCTCAAAGGCTGTCACAAAGAGGAAGGTCAAGATCTCTTCTTGCTTATACTAGTGTGTAGGACATGGAATAATCAATTCAAGCTGCAACAACCCAGGTTCAGGCTAGATGTCAGGAAAAGCTTCCTCACTGTCAGAGCAAGGAACCAGTTGCCTAGAGGGGTCATGGGCTCTCCCACACTAGAGACATTCAAAAAGAAGCTGGACAGCCATCTGAATGAGATGGTATAAATTGGTGTCTTGCAACAGTTAGACCTGATGGTCTCCATGGCCCCTTCCAATGCTACTATTCTATGATTTTGATTCTATGAGCTTCATCACAGAATCCTCTCCCGGAGACAGAGGGCTGGTATAGCAGCAGAGCAGGCTGGCTTAGGCCCTGCCCTCCAGTACCTGCCACAGGTGGATGCCCTACCTGGCCTACTGGTAGGGCTAGCCTGCCACTATATTATAATAGTCTTACCTGTCTGCATTACATATCACAAGGCTCCTGGAAAGCATCGTAAGAAGAGGTAAAATTCTTTCTGTCCCAAGCACATCCAACTGTGAGCCAGGACATGGACAGGGAGCAGCGAGCCAAGAGGTGGCGGTGACAGCAGAAAGAAATACTGGGGGAGGCGCAGAAGGGGCAAGGCACATTTGCGACATGGCAGGGGCAGAGTGTCTTTCAAGTAACTGCAGGAGCCCAGGAAAGCAAAGCCGGCAGAGGACTGAATGCCTGTCCAAGCACTGCCTAGGTCAAGAGGTGGGAAACTAGTAACGGGGAAGGCTGCCTAAGCTCTCTCTCAGGTCGTGGTGACCCAGGTGAAGCCCTTGTCTCCAGACTTATTCCAGCTTGTTCAAACTCTGGCCTTAGGACCAGCATATGGGCTGAATAACTTTTTAGAAACTTGGTCCCTAGGAGAGCTCCTGTCAGAAATTGTTTATGTCCAAAACACTGGAGGGAAACACATGAAGCTTTGATTTGTGCATTAAACAGGAAACTCTCCCTTGACAAAACACACACATTTTGATATGAAAATCAATCTCCTGAAGGAACACACCCACACACTTGGCCTAGTGCCAAGATAAAGAATTCAGGCCGGAGATACGGCACAGAATACAAAATTTTGGAAGGGAATTGGCCCGTTCAGCCTTCCAGGGAAGCATCGCCAGTGCATGACAAGATATTAACACTAGTTCTCCAGCGTGCAAATTTAGGTAACGTCACTAGTGATGCCCTTGAGGAATATCTCCAAACTGCGGCTAAGAGAACAAACATGCATTGGTCAGACAAAGGCCCTATTGCTCCCAGTTCACCCTAACAGCCATGTAAAACACTGGGCAGTTGCAGGAATTTTCCTGCCTTGACATATATAGGACTGTATGCTAACATTCTTAATTCTGCATGAGACATCAACCACTGCCTTGTCAGATACAAGAAATTTACTCCTGATTAAATGAAGCAGTTATAAAATTAGCTGTGATTAACAGGCATAACCAAGGTTAATTGATTGATGCAAGATTATCCTTTAGAAAGAGTTGGGGAAGGACTAGAAATGAGGCTGCAAAGAATGTTATAAAGTGTCCTTAAGAGAATAAAAAGAATGGCTTTATAAGAGGACTCTGCACTTAGGGTGGTCTGCTTTCCTGGTGCCCCTGAGAGCAGGGTTACCTGTCAGGAGTGTTATTCCCATTAGAGCTAGGCAGCCCCCATATTAAATTTCCCAAAGCCATGCTAGATGGGGTATTCCATGGCATTCTGGGAAATTTAAAAGTGTGGCTCATAGCTGCTGATGTGTAAACCTCAAGGCTAGAAACAGGCTTTTGTGTTTATTGAAGTCTTGATTAGATACATGTTCAAATTTTCATCTGCAAACTCTGTTAGACAATCCCTTCCACCCCAGTGCAAACAGTCTAATCCCAGAGAAGGTGATATTCTTATATAATTCAATGACTGGGACCTGAAAAAATTGCAGAAGAATCTGGAAATTGCAAGGAAATATGGCTCACGTTCAACTGTTGTCAGACATTTTGTCAGAGACTCTAAGGGTCAAGCTTAGTCATATTTATACTTGTCCTGCAGAAATAAATGAGACCCAAGTTAGTCATGACCCATTTATTTCTGTAAATCTACTCTAAGGATGAGTTGGTCTGTATCCAACCTATTCTGAAAACACCCATCTGTGAAATTTCTAACTGATATTTTAGCGGAAATTTAACCATGGGGCAGGAGGGATTCCCAGTAATTTAATCACTTCTCGTAAAGAACAGGCAAATATATAGTCTTATATCTCAGGAAGACTGGCTGTTTTTTCAAACTGTGTGTGAACTAACCCCTGATTTGCTATCAACAAGTGGGAGTGAGCAAGCACACTGCCTCCTTCTCCCTTAAGATCTATGGGAGAAGCCCTACTCCAGGAACCCTCTCTAAAAGAGGTAAAAAAAGGTCATCAACTTGGAGTAGGGCCTTCTCTGCTGTGGCGCCCAGACTCTGGAATGTACTCCCCAGGGAGGTACACCTGGTGCCAAGTTTATACTCTTTTCAGTGCCAGGCCAAAACCTATTTAAACAGTATTTTAAAATTTAATAATTTTCAAATTTAGTCACTCTGTTTGTTTTGCGATTTATTTTGTTGTTTTATTATTTATCGCAATTGTTGTTTTGTCTTATTAAATATTGTAAGCTGTCCTGAGATCTTGTATAATAGAACGACATACAAAGCTTTTAGTAAATAAAAACAAACAAACAAAATAAAGATCCTCCCATCCGCTTTCCATAAAACCCCAACTAGCCTAGTCAGGAGCTGTGAGCATGAAGTGTGTGTAAAGCTGGACCACTAGGATTCTTAGGGACTAAATCTGGGTTTGTTTTGAGACAGCGGACATGAGGAGTGAATGGAAGGCAGAACACTTGCTTACTTCCCACTCAAGCATGGATATTAAAACGCACGTGTAGCTCTTTTTCCTTTCCCGTTTTGATTAGTGTGTGTGTGTGTGTGCACGCTCACACAAGTGCTTTGTAATCCAAACATCTGACACTGTTGTAAGGGAAATAATTTTCCAGATATCTGACATCCCCCTTTGTGGGGTCAGCTGAGAGAATGTCGGCCTGCTTTCCTTCACAAGCGGTCCAGGTACAGGTCCTGCATCAATTCTGCCAATGCCTTGTAGGTCTGCTTGTTTAAAGTACATGTGACTACTTTGGAAAATATTCACACGGCAGGACTTGATTGCAAGTATTTAGGCAATCCATTTTTGGAGAGGCTGCTTTACTGCTGGAAAGAACACCGGTCTTTATACATTCTACTAACCCACAGAAAATATACTGCAATAACAAACAAGAAAATTATACATAAGGCTCCTGTACCTGAACATCTTCTGCCATCTGCAACACTGAGCCAGTTCCTTCTATATAGTGCCCATACCTTAAAATCAATTAAGAGTGATACATTAAGATTCCTGTGAGAATTCCCATATCCATTAGAGCAGAGGTTAAAAGGACAGCACTCACACATGAACTAATAAATGTATCTGGAAAAGTGCTTCTTATTTAATGCAAGTGATCCAAGGGCTACATGATTAGCCAGTGTGACCAAAAATAAAAGGCCTTGCTATGCAGCCAATCCAAATGGGTGATTCTCTTGTTGCAATGACCTACACATGTGGCCAGGAGTTTTCCACCGGTTTGGTGTTACCACTTCCTCCTTTTCAGACCAACTATTCTGCAAGCAACCAGGCATGTGATATCATTCTTTTGAGTGCATGAGCGATTCTCACATTCTTCAATGTGTTAGCAAGCTTACAGATGTCCAAAGTGCATTTCCCATTACATGTGCAACGAGAGGGGCCGCTTCACAAATTTAGGCACAAGGGTATTTCAGAAAGAAGTATCAGCAAAGGACACACAGTTTTATGTCAAAAGACCCAAAGCAGCGGATTCAAAGCAGATGTTGTTCTTAATCAATACGTTCGATGCGTGCCAAGCATGTTGATTTCAAAAGCACAAAACTGCCTACAGTGAATGGTAAAGAGTCCAGTGTTTTAAAAATGATGGGATCCCTCTTCTGGAGCCAATGTGGTTTTCTGCATAAACATGTTTTCTCAGCAGTCTCTTGCAAACTGTCATTTCATGTAAATTATAGGCAGACCAGGACCTGAGAAATAGGACTGCCTGTTTGATAACTATAGTGCAAGGAAAGGCTGAACAGAGAGCGAGTCTGAGAAAGGGCATTTTATACTCAGGAAAAGCATGAAAAGGGTAAACATTTAGGAGGCAGGAAAGAGAGAAAAGTTGACATTTGTGTTGGGCTGGGAAAACTTTCTATAGAAGGAGCTGCTAGCATACTGTTTGGTCAGGGCTACTTAGAGTTACAAACTGACTTTTGCCTGACGATGGAAGGCTGACAACACAGACTGCAAGATCGGAGACGAGGAGATGGATCCGGATTTAGGCATGTGCAACTTGGCCGACTCACTGCCCAGAAGGCAAACCGGTGAGACCAAGACAAACGTTCCTGCTCCAGAACCGAAGTGCAAGGCTCAGAAGCCGTGGGATACATGTGGTCCATGACCGAACTGCACACAGCCCAGCTTGCTCCCTGTCCAACCAGGGAGAACAAAATGCTCTGAGAGCACTAGGGTCACCCGAGACATTTGCTGCCCAAGGCAAAGGACAAGATGCCGCCCCTTCTGCCATCCTGTGCACAGAAGTAGACGGGGCTGCCAGCGGAGTCGTACATCAATACTGATGATAGGATGGCCCTGAAAGGCAGCAGGTCCGTTCAGGGCAAGCCACGCGGCACACACCTCTCTCCCTCACACAGCGCAGGGGAGCCCATCTGAAAAGTCGCTCCACTCTAGTCGGGGAATACACCTATCTGGAGGGCCATGCTGTAAGCACAGAGATGAAGACACAATTCCAAAGGATTCTTCCCCCAAGGATTCTTCCGACCAGGCGGAGGGTACTAAACCTGTTCTGAACAGGGCTGCCCTTCTCTTGAGGGAGATTGCTTGTTGGTCCTTCTGGACCCGTCTCCACCACTTGTGGCTCAAGTTGCCTCAGCAGGAAGGAGTGCTTTCTGCCATCTGGTGGTCCAGCTACACCCCTATCTAGACAGAGATAACCGGGTTTCAGTAATGCATGTATAGGTAATCTCCAAGTTAAGATTACTGCAATGCCCTCTACCTGGGGCCGCCACTGAAGACTATTCAAAAGATGCAACTTGTGCAAAATCTGGCAGCAAGGCTGAGGCCCTCCTCCAAGGACCACTTCTGAGGAAAGCTCTGTGGGTACAAAGCAGCAAGGGGAGCAGACCTTCTCAGTGATGGTCCCCGATTTTGGAATGGTCTCTCCACTGCTAATGCTATCATTTTTTGGTGCCAGATTAAGAACATCCTCCACTCCCAGGCATTTAATGGCACACGGAAAATTTATGTCAACTGTCTTTTTGACACATTTAGTAACACAAAAACCTTGTTATTAAAATTGTTTTAAGCTGTTTTAATGGTTTGAAATATTGCGTACTGAAATTTTGGGTTGCATTTTATCTTCTGTTTTTGTGGTTTGTAATTTTGTGAATTGTTGTGAAATGTTCATAAAGCTTCAGTTCTTGGGTGATATGGACATTTAAATAAATGTGTTATTTATGTTACTAACATTATTAAAAATGTTTCCCACTGCTGGCACAGAACATATAGGGCAGAGAACATTCCCAGCCACCATCTCCAGCAAGCTGTGATTTAGAAACATCTCAATATGCAAGCATAGAAACTACACAACTACGCTCAACTTCATTATGCTTTTAATGGCTACCTTTGGAGGGCTTTGACAAGTGGCAGTTCAGGTGCAGCTGGGTGATTTTTGACTTAGATTTAATGGTATTAAGGCTGGCTGTGTGTATTACTTTACTTTCTTCAAAGTGTGCTAAGTCAGACTGCTGCTTCTGCAGGCCATCCATTCTCTGAGTGGGACCTTGACCAACTGCCCTAAAGGCTGCCCTGTTTAATAAGGACTAGATGCATATCTTTACACAATCCTTGAAGAAACTATATGAAATGCATAAGCAAATGAGTGTGCCAATGATCCATATTTTGGTTTTGCTTTTACAAGGGATAGTTACGGTTCTTTGGAAGCCATTCAATATGTGGCATTCTCCCCTGTGAGTGTCGTTTTGGGCTGGGTGTTCTTGCAGGCTAGTACTTTATTAGAATGGGAGGACGGATGTTATAAGGAGCGTGTTCCAGATACTTGACTAACTCTTTCTTTGAATGAAAACTACAAAGGAAAGCTTGTAATCTGATGTGTAGAGAATATTCACTTTTTTCACAGAGGCTTACCCTTTTGTGAAGCATGTTGATCTTCTGCCAGTTGGTGTAACAATGTCTAGAAGGAAGGCATAACGCAGCAAGGACTTTTGTGGAAGGAAGTACTGACTGAGTCCTTCATCACCTTCATCCTGGAGGAAGGACTGAAGCCTTTGCAGAGAGAGATCATTATCCGATTGCTGCTTCTTTTCCAGTTCTTCCACTGTTTCAAGCTTAAAAAGGAAGCTACTCTTTTGTGGGCATGTTTTGCCATTCCCATCAGGGACAGAGGCAGCCTCTTCAGTGGACGTCAGGGAGACATCTCCTGCAAAGCCAGTAGCGCCTTTTGACATCTTCGGGCCCACTGGATTCAAGCTTGGGAATTCCGTTAATACCTAACATTCAACAACAGCAACATGCAAATAAATGCTCAAAGAACTTTGTGTACTCAGTGATTTGAAGGAAACTGCTAGTTCTTTGAATATTGTGTACAGCTGCTCCATGTGAATATTGCATGAACTTTTGCAGCAAAAATAACTGTGTGCGGGCATGCATGATCTATATATGCATATTTGAAGGAGAGCCTAGTCCATGCTTTCTAATTAACAGAAACATACATTTTAGAGTCAATAAATATTGTTTTCTAAGTTAGCTTTTCCCAACCTGATGTTTAGGACTACAATGCTTGACACCCCCACCCAGCAAGAATGATGAAGGCTGTTCTGCAACCTATTTGGTGGACTGCATGTTGGAGAAGATTGTTGTAAGCAAAGGATTTGTTGTGTGGAGGGATTAGAAAGTAAAACCAGAAAGCAGTCCCCAGGTTATGAACAAGCTCCATTCCTGAGAAGATGGAAGTTCAACTTTAAGTCAAATTTGTATATAAGTTGGGTCACGTTTTGTCAGCAGGATTACGGGTGCAGGACCCCCATGAAAGTGGAAAAAGCTACAAATATCTTTACAGCCCCGCCCCAAGTCACCAAGGCCTCCTCTTTGCAGCAAGGAAATGCTGGAGAGATTTCCCTTCTGGATGGGTGAGGCAGGAAAGTCTGCTTTAGAGGCCTCCTTCGCTCCCCTTTCACTTCCTCCCTCCCTCCCTCTCTCTCTCTCTCTCTCTCTCTCTCTGGTGATGCCGATTTTCTGCAGTAATTAAAAAATAAATAATAGGCTGCATGGCAGTTCATTTATAAGTACAGGTTAGGGTTGAGGGAGAGTACATCCTGGATGCCCTGAAGTGACCCTTTCCTGTGGCAAACTATGTTTTATCATGACACAGGAATGCAACCATGACATCTTACACCCGATACATCTTGAAGAACATTCCACATGGGCCAAAGTCTTCAGCACACACCATTTTGCATCTATGAGACTAGTTTGGTTTCAGTCTCCCACTGACTGGGTCACATGCTACAGATACTCAAGGTCTTTCTGGAATCCTCAACATCCCAGCATCACCCAAACAGCATAAACTTTGGAACTTATTTCTTCTAGCCCCGACCTACATTCAAACCCGATGAGTCAGGCACGATAACTAGTAAGGTACCCCAACTAATACTGCCTAGGCAGCCTCACCTGACCAGGAACTTGAAAAGTGAAGGGCTCTGAATGACGTCTTGCGATCAGAAAGTACCTCAGTCTTGAGTTGGGAATGCCAAGCTGCAACCAAAAATCCAAAGTGTAACCCAGAGGTGCTGGACAGATAGCAACAGTCAACTGATCAAAATGCTGGGCTTTCTCACAATTTACCCTGACCTGGCACCTTCCAGATGTGCTGGACTGCAACTCCCATCATTCCCAGCCAGCATGGTTACTGGGGGGCACCAGGTTGGAGAAGGCCCTCTTACTATACACAGAAAGGTATTCCTGTGCAACTGATCTGTATTCCAAACCAAGTCTGAAAGTGGACATGTTCAAAGGAGGCTGGAGACAGGGAAACTCTGCTTTACAAACCACTTTAACAGGCTCCCACTACAAATTTAAACAAGTGAGGGATCAGCCAGAATTCTCAGCATAAAATTCCAAGTTTTTAAGTAGAGGTGGTGCAGGGAGGATGGGGAAATGACACACTGGTTGAGCCATCCATTTAACAATAAGCAAAGAAAAACAAGATTTTGGCACAAAGTTTCATTCAATGGTGGTCAGCTTTGAATGTAATGCTGAAGCAGGGGGCAGGACAAACAAGTACCTGCCTGCTCTGGTTCCCAGCCTCCTTTCTTCACATGTAATAAAACTTAGACATTTCTCCTTTTCACCTCTCTCCCCACCAAGGTTTATGCTAGGATATACATCTCTAGGAGAAGAAAGGCTAAAGTCCTAGTTTGGCTAAACCAAATTAGAAGCAAAATGTGATCAGACTAGCTTTGGTGCAGGAAGCAAGTCTAGAAGACAAGCCAGCGTCCCTCTCTGAAACACAGATGAAAGCACGATGCAGCTTCTTAGTTAGAAATGGTTTTAACAATGCCATTACTCACACAGGTTGGAGACAAGAGAAATTCTTGGTATGTGAATCCGCACTTTTCCAGTGTTTGTATGAATTCATCTCTGGCAATAAAAAGACAGATACCATGAGTTTCACTGTAATCAGGGAATGCCTGAAGCAGCCCCAAGTGCTGGACCTGGACTTAATCACACACCTATTGAAATTAATCATGGCTAAGTTAAGTCCCATTGATGTAAATCTGAATTCTCTAAGTATGGCTAAATCCAGATCTGGCCTTCCATTTTTGTTATACTGACTCATCTGAGGTTAGATTTGTTGAGAAAAGGAGACAGTGGATGGATGGCTTCCTGAAACACCTTCGCCACATTCACAAGCAGGACTCAGCCCTGTATTTTCCATGCAAGGCCCTTTTGCCCTTCCTTAGAAATGCTCATTCCTGAAGCAGCATGTCCTCTAAGAATGGCAATTCACAGCTGGCCCAAAGGGCCTCTAAAATTCTTCACCCTCTCTGCACAGAGAAATCGTGATTGCCAATTCTCTCATGTGGAGGAGAAATTCCCAGTGGTTTCACAGGCAGGGCTCACTCTGGCAAGGTTTGTAGCACCATTTCTTTCTTTTTCATAAGGGTTCTCAGCGCTGCCGTTGCCACTTCAGGTGCAAACAGCCCGGTCCCATTTTGTAAGCACCACAGTGTGGCTGTGATGGGGACAGAGTTAAATCAAGCACCGGGAAAGCATAGCTCCTTCTGTGCCCAAATCTATCCTCTCCTTTCAGAAAGATTTCCTCTTCTGTGAAAGAGGTTTTCACTGGTTCTGCCTCATTCTCAGGACATTTTATATTCCTTTTGCACTTTTGTGTGTTTTTGGAAGCTACCTGATTGCTGCAAGGTGGCCAAGGGTGCTGTGCTTGTTTTTTCTGTCTAGTGCCTCACACAAAGAAGTCTGTATTGCATAGAAGCATTTTTCCTGAATTATATGGAATATGAGGCTCATGTGGAGGCAGAGGTATTCTTGGAAATGAATATTCCACTGGAGACCAGCACTTGGCTTTGCAGCGCCCCAGCCTCCCCCCCCTTTTTTTTTTACAAAATAGTAATATAAAACTCAGATAAAAGAATACAAAAACCAGGAGGGCTGGGGCAGAGGGACGTGTGAGGAGTTGGAGAGGAGGGAAAGGGTGTGTGGCAGAGAGGGGTGCCAAGAGAAGTCCACAGACACAGTTGTGCGAACAGACACCACACCAGAGTGCCCAGAATTACATCATACCTGGCAGAAGACGTTTCGAAGCCTTTGACATTTTCTAAAAGCAAATATTTGGGTAGCCTGGCAAGCCTGCAAAACAATGTGTTGAAAATACAGGTATTGAGCAAACATTCTGGAAACAAAATAATTGGCAGGCTACGTCACTTTTTGCATCACTCCTCTCGGCATGTCTTTCCCATCCTTTTAAAAATAAGAAAACTTTCAGCTGAAATTGTCTCCTGAATGGTAGGAGACCAAAACAGCAGAGCACATGAGCCCTATCTCAGCAGCACAGGATTCTCTGAATTTGAGGCAGACACACAGCCTGGAAAGATTACTGAGTGTGCCTTGGCATTTCCAGATAAGGTCAACACCACCCACCACCTTAACTAGACTCTCTGCAAAGCTGCGTGAGATGGAAGAAATGGCTCATTTTGCAGGGCCTCAAACAATCCTCTCTTGCAATTTGGAAGTAACATAAATGTCCTTTATCACATAGAATGGTATAGAATGAAATAGGCAGGATCTAAAGTGATGCGTCTTAACACATGGATGGCAAAAAATGCTACAAGCACAGAAGCAAGTTCTTTTCTCAATCCATGTGTACAAGCGTGAAACAAAGGGATTTTTTTAAGCCTTTCAAAGACATGGTTTAGTAAAAGAAAAAAAAGCAAAGCAAAACCAGATATTTTTGACATTAGCAAAGGTGTTAATCATATGAGCAATTACTTGGAATTAAGAGCCATTGGAATTCATGGGACTTAACATGATAAGGATCACTTTAAGGGCTCTGCATACTATCCATTTAATAATGAAGCAATAGAGTATGGATCCTGGAGGCATCTGATATGAATGGAAATGTTGGCACAAGGTTCTAATCCAACTGTGGTCAGGTTTTCTTTCTTTGTTTTCTTAGTCAAGGCTCTATACATAGCCTGGAGCATCTCATTTCAATGTTTTTAGGTATTCTTTCCTTGCCTGCAGGGTGATGGAGGATGTATCATTCCAACCGCACTCTCTCCTCTTTGCTTTATAAATATTGTGGGCCAAAATGGCCCTCTATGGTGAATATGTGGAGTAGTTATGCTCAAAGAAAAAGGAAGGAAGATCTGTGACAACCATCAATATTCCATTTATCTATCTATGTAAAATGCTGGTACACATGTAGGCTGCTTCTTTGAGGGTTTCAGCAGCTCTATTTAATAGCCTTGTTTTGGCTAAGTACCATCATTTCACAGGCAGCTCTGCTACATTTTTAGTTTTAGGCCCAAGGTTCTGCTAAGCCAAGGGTGAGGAACCTCTGGCCCTCCAAATGGACCATAGCTAGCTGAGTCTATTAACCTCTGAAGGGGACACGGGCTCCCCATCCCATGCTAAGCATTTTACAACCCAAGTAGCTAAGAGGGAAGCCAGATTTTAATTCTCAACATGTGTATCTTGGGCCAGATTCAATTCTTACTTTACTGCTTATAAGGAGGAGGAAGACTAAGAAAGGGACAGCAGAAAAGGCAGCCTTTGGAGTTTTCTTTTAGGTCACAGAAAGGAGAATCCATTGCCCGGTACACATAAAAATATCCCCTTTCAGAGCAGCAAGCTTGGGGTTATGGGCCCTGATGGGCACAGCACTTTGTTACCCAAAAGTAATCAAGACTCCACCTGACTGGAGATGCCATCTCAGCTGTAGGCACTGGGGAAGCATCTTCAAGTACAGAAACAAAACTGAGGTATGTCTTTTAAAAAACACACACACACAAAGCCCACCCAGGAGTATTTTATGTAGTTAACAGAAAGAAAAATCCTGGGGGCCCTGGGAGAGGGGATTCCCCATCTGGAGGCCATAGGCACTCTTACAACTTTGGAAGCAGGAATTCAACCCTCTTCCCATTTGCCCTCCTGCTCAGAGCTACTCCAGGAAGTGCCAGAGTGGCTGTTCCTTCAAGGTCACATTGGCGACCTTGGAAGACCCCAGAGAGATCAAATGTGGGCATTCCACTGGGCATAGAAAGGGGAGGCTAGGACACCCAGGATCCTATGGCCTCTCCAGCTCTCTCCCTGCCCACAGCAATGAAGGCCAGCCATTCTAGCTAGTTTTGAATTTTATCTTTAAAGAATAATGGGAGGCAAACTTGCCTCTTCCCTCCTGCTGCTTTGCCTGACTCTTGCCAGAAGGATAGAGGCAAGACAGAGAGCTCTGCTTTTGGAGTTTCTGTCTATCAACAGAGTAATCCATACAGGGTGTGCAGTTATACCAGTGATTAGTATTTCTGTTCAATTACTTTGGAAGAATATCAAGAATGTAGAGAAAACTCCGTGTCCTGGGGTCAGAAATATCACCCTGTCGGCCAATTCTGCAAAGAGAGGAACAGAATTAAAATGTTAAGCAAACACATCTAACATTTATAATTTATTATTTCTGGCCCAGGAAAAAGATTCTCTTTCACAAAAATCTTAAATTCTGCTGTCTGACAGGTGATCAGCAGATGTCACCTGGTAAATTAGCTGTGCTGAGATTGGTTCCTATCTCCAGCTTTCCCTCCTATTTATTATTTTAGCAATTAAATTTTATTAAATGTTATTACGCTTTGTATTATTTTTAGGTTCAATCCAATGAAACTGCTCTGTAATCCTCTGAATTTATGCTTGGTGGGAGAAGTGTGGAGACAAAAATTGCCCTCCACACTCCTGCACTACCATGCAAAATACTTGCCTGGCCCACTTGGCTATCTAAACGTTCAGCTCAAAGCTGAGCCATATTGCGCATGCTGGCACTGCCTGTCTCTTCCTCGTGTTGCCCCTTCAGAACACCCACACTGGAATTCCGAATTAGCCTATAAGCTGCAAGACTGGACTCTTAAAGACTCTAACAAATAGAAAACAAACTGTACCTTTTCTCAATTTATTTTTTAAAGTCAGAAATATATACTGTTGTTAATAATGTTTATACATTGCTTTGTTTGCTAAAAAGCCATCAGGGGTAAATATCCATCAAGCAACATTTTTCTCAGCTTTTAAACAGAAGTGGGACATTTGAAGTGCATACCTTGTAAAGGGTTGACAAGGAGGGCTCATCAAGATCATATCAAAAGACAGACTGTTGAAATCCTTCAGTGAAATTCCCTGAACAAAGAAGATTAAATGATGCATCATTCAATACGAACAGGATGTTGTTATGCTGCAGACATTCCATCCAACTGCAGTGGAGGGAGACGAGAAGCAGGGCAGTTCCTCCCTTGCCTCCCATTCCAACAGGCTGCAGCAGGGGCGAAGGGTAGTGGGTCAACTCCATCAGTTCTGATGAAATGCCAGCCAGAACTGGACTTCTCCTCCTCCTAAACCATTTCCTTTCTATCTGTTCATTATAAGAGCTATTTAACTTTAAGAACCGGCAATTAAGCTTGCTTCTTTTCTCATCCCTCCCCACCCTTTTTTCTTTTGTGCCAGGTCTTTTAAATTCAAGCCTGCAAACAGAGACTGTCTTGTTCTGTTCTGCAGTGGGGGAGGGCTGTGCACATGGGCTCTGGAAGACTTTGTGTAAATAGTTAGATAAAATATACATTAAAGAAATAATCTTTGTCCTGAACTATGAATGGAGGTGGGGGTTGCACTCCACGAATGTATCACATGAGTCTAAAAAGGGAAGCTCTGCTAATTCCACATGTTTGTCATGAGAACAGTCATTCCCTAATACACACATCACATGTTTGCAGATTTGTACTGAGGGTTAAGTCTTGTCAAGGGGCCACCCATCACAGTGATGTCAGCAGGAATGTGCCCAGACTGAAGTTTCATGTGCTAATCATTTTAACAGAGCAGCGGTAGCAGCTCCAAAATCCTTCAAGTGAGAATGGCAAGGCAAGGCCAGCAAAAGGAGTACTTTAATAGAAAATAGCATTTCGAAATCACTTAACAGATTGAAAGCTTAAGTTGATGGATGCAATTAAATGCTATTTCTGGAGACTGCGAGTAAGGTGAAGCCATGGAACATCCATTCCCAAGGGGAAGTGATGGCCACCAGTTTGGATGTAAAAATTTGAAGGGGATTGGACAGATTCAGGGAGGAGGCAGCTATCTATGGCTGCCAGACCTGATGACTCTATACTACATCCAGCCTCTGAAGCAGTACGCTTCAGAATGCCAGTTGCAGGGAAACACAGATGGAAAGCTGCTGCTACACTCATGTTCTGCTTGTGAGCAGCTGGTTGGAAAAGAAAGCAGAACCAGATGGACTTTTGATCTGATTGAAGATGACTCCTAGTCCTTACAGTTTAGGCTGTTGGGCTTGCCTGACAATGAAGCAGCCATGCTAATTATCTAGCTCTCTTCTTCAAAGGAAAACAGTTGCAGACAAGCATTTTTGATCCCTTACCTACCCAAGAATAAAATTCTTCCTTATGCCAACAGTCCATTTTACCTGTTCCAGAGTCGTGCCTTCTCACTGGTAGGTCCCCAGGGGGAGACCTGTCCAATTACACCTATCCAGACGTTCTGAACTTCAGCTCCCATCATATCTAACATGCATGGACCAATGGTCTAAAATTCTGGAAGCTGCAGGCTAAAATATCTCAGGGTACCATGTTGAAGATGGCAGACCTGCTTTAACCTTTTCAATGTAAAAGGTGAGTGGAAAATGCTGGGGTCAATTGCATGCCATGCATGTCTTCTACAGCAACATCCACTTATTGTACCCCACCCACCACAGAGGGCACATCTCAAGGTGCTTTACAAACTCTTCTGGGTTTTGAGAGCCGTTTGTTGAAAAGATAAAGGCCTGGATTCCCAGATGGCAATTTTCGTATTATCTCTTCTAACTTACAGCCACCTATGTGCCCACTCAATGAAGGCTTGTGGTGGGTTGGGGTTTAGGAGACTGCTGAGGGAACAGAAGCACATTTTCTTAAATGAGCTTCCTTATCATAATTCAAGAGGGAAGAAGGCTGTTTTCAACTTTGTTTTCGACTCTAAATCCCAGAAGTGTCCCTGACGGCATGACCAATAATTCAGAATGCTGGGAAGTGAAGTCCAAACCATCTGAAAGCCTGCTTTCTGCCTGGCCCTGAGGTAACCTTTCTTAGCAACCAAGCCAAAGTCAGAACCAAGTCACATGAAAGCCATCCCACATCGTTCACTCATTGACCAGGGCTGTGACAACAGCACAATCTCTTTCTTGCCACCCAAAGTTACAGAAATACATGTAGATGTTTTCTTCCTAAACATGGTCTGTTGCGTTGACATTTACCAGGATAAAAGACAGTGGCAAAAGCCCTTGGATGGCCTGAATTACTCACCTCAATCGTCTTGGGCCACAGAGGTGTGGAAGGGAAGTTGTGCATGTAGACTCCATTGGCCACAGTATTCACATCCACAGCTGCAACCACCTTTGCAGGTACCCCACTCACTAGAAGGTCCACGGGGAGAAGAGTGAGAATCGGTTTAAGAAAAATCAGTTTTTCTCATATATATATATATATATATATATAAATAAAACCTTTGTTTGTAAACTTTTAAACTTTGTAAACTTTTAATGATGCAATATTTTTAACATGGTGCATTTTTATTGTATTTTTATTGTGCTGTTGTGAACTGCTTTGACTGGTGGGTGATATAGAAAACACATAAATAGACTTGTACACTTTCTCTCCTTCTGTAGATATTTAAATCATTTAGTTAAGCATCAGGTTGTCCATACTCAATTGTGCTAATCTACATCTCGAATAGAAGCAGCAGTCATATATTCTGGTAAAACCATCACTGGAAACAGAGAGGCAGCCGCATACTGTTTAATTTGTAACCACTGAAAGTTGCAGGTAAACTCATTTTCCACATGATTCCAACCAGCTGTGGAAGCACAGCCCCTCCTCCCGAGGGGGAGCTCTCGAGGTCAACGAGGTCAACATGGCATTGCATGCTACAATTGCTGAACCTGAACTACTTGATGACAGCCTTGATTCCCTTGAAAGCAGGCACATCTCTACAGATGTTATTTCTATTTACCGGTTGTCTCCAAGGGGTCAAGTCAAGTTGTTCTTCAAGTGGAGTCATGCATGCACGTGTGCGCGCACACCTTTTGGAAAGGTGGTTCACAGAAAGCTCATCAAAGTATGGCTGCATTTGCTTCTATTCCAAACATCCAGTCCAGCTGCACAGGGTAAAGATAATAGATAAGCACAGGGAAGATTGTGGAGACTCTGGCAGCCAACTCTTACCATTTAACCTTAGAGTTTGAGGAACTGAATGTCAAAAAGAAATCAAGTTAGGGTGCAGTGTGGTGGAGATGCTCATAATCCTCCAAGTTTGGAAGACCGCAAGAGTGATCTTCACTGCCATGTTCCTCCCTCCAAGTTAGGTGGATGGCCGATTCCAGCCATCTGACTACATAGCTTCAAAGTCAAACAGGACCCTCAGCAATCTGCCTCCCAGAATGCCGTTTACTGCTTCTCCCAGGTTGCTCTTACAACTTCACACAGGCCACTGGCACAATTATTTCTGAACCAGCTGTAAGGGTGGGGAGGGCAATCTGAGCCCAAGGAACCACACCTCCAAGGTTCGAGCTCTTTTCCAACATCAGATCTGGGAATCTGGAGCAACCTACTGCCTCTAGTTGCTAGATAGGAGCAATAGGATTAAAACATACAGAAACCATATTATTGAACAGTGATCCTCTTTTCATTCCCTGTGTTCCTAGCGTGAAGGCTTGCCTTGTCAGTGCTTATCTAATCAAATGACACCATTCATGTACACAAAGGAGTTATTATTAGGGAATCACAAATTCTGCAGAAATCAGGAGTTACATAGAAACAGAGCGAGTCAGAAGGGGCCTCCCAGGCCATCTAGTCTGACTTCCAGCACCATCCAGCTCCGCTCACGACATGCCCACCATGTGCACGTCCAGCCTATCCTTGAACACCCGCACCAATGGGGCCTCTCATGGAAGCCCATTCCACACCCTCGGGGTCCTGACTGTGCTTCCTGGCATCCAAATGGAACCTTGGCTCCCTGAGCTTTGCTCCGTTGGAGCGCGTCCTGCCTTCCTCTGCAGGGGAGAACAGGTCTCTACCCATCTCCATGTGACATCCCCTCACATACCTGTATGTCGCCAACATATCCCCTCTGAGTCTCCTCTTCTCCAGGCTGAAGAGACCCAGTTCCCTCAGTCTTGCCTCATACCCCATCCCCTGCAAACCGGCCACCAACCTTGTGGCCCTACGCTGCACTGACTCTAACCTGGCTATATCCTTTCTGTAATGAGGGGCCCAAAACTGAGCACAGTACTCCAGTTGTGGGCACACCAAAGTCGTATAGAGAGGTAGTAATACCTCTCTTGATCTAGAAGCCACACTCCTGGCTATGCAACCAAGGGTGGCGTTAGCCCTTTTGACCACCGCATCACACTGCTGACTCATGTTTAGCCTGCAGTCAACCAGCACCCCGAGGTCCCTTTCACAAGTGCTGCTCTCCAGCCACTTGTCACCTAGCCTGTATTTATGACACCTATTCCTATGCCCCAAGTGCAAGACCTTGCACCTATCCACATTGCACGCCATCCTGTTGTCTCCTGCCCACTTCCATAGTCTGTCCAGATCCTTTTGGATCTGGAGTACCTGCTCCTCAGTTGTGGCCACTGCTTCAGTTTTAGTGTGGTCTGCAAATTGGATCAGCCAACTGTTCACCCCTTCTTCCATGTCACTTAGTGGAAGAAACCCTGAAAAGGGGAAAGAAATTCCCAAAGCAGCCCAATGAGGACTTTGCATGCTCAGTGGTCATGGAACACTGTTGGCTGGGAGAATGGAATTAACTGGGCGACGGGGGAAGGGAATGTGGTTATATTGCTACTACAGACCACTGCTAACAATAGCAGCTACTTGCTGTCTGTAAAGCCCTGTATTTCTGGCACTGCACATGATCAGCACTTGTGACTGCTGGAAGGAAGAGAGGGAGGAGACAGTCCACTAGAAGAGCCATGAGAAAGAAGCCTGGTTATGCATGCCTGATCCTATCTGAATTTTTGTATTTACTTGAAAATAATTCCCACTGAATTCTGTGGTCCCAAAGCTTTGCCACTATGCCTGGAGTCTTCAGCTCTGACTGCCTCATGTGTGCCCTGTGACAAGGAAAATGAAAGACCCACCATTCCATCAGTCTGTCCAAGGCCGCAAGATTGTGGCAGAAATGCCAAACTTGGCCCATTGTTTGAAGCTTTCCAAAAGCCCAAACATAATGGCTCCATGGACCAAGGTATGCAACACTGCTCAGATCCACTATTACTATCACAAACACATGTCGTTATTTGTTGTTCGGCGCCAGGCCAAGACCTTTTTATTTAAACACTATTTTAATTGTTAAGGTTTATTTGTTATTTTTAAACTGACCAGGCTGTTCCCACTATTTTATGTATTTTATTTATTCTATGAATTTTTTTATTTTTTATTTTTTGTATTTATATGCCGGATTTTAATGATTGTAAGCCGCCCTGAGGCTTATGCGATGAGGGCGGCATATAAGCTAAATAAATAAATAAATAAATAAATGTCAGGCTGAAGACCACGATAATCATATTTATTGCATAAATGTTGAAACGGCTCCTATCTAGAACTATCACCTTTTTATAAGCCCTGATGACTACAGTCCAAGATACACAAATTGAGTAGGTTGAAGTGGGGAAAGTGCCAACTCTGACTAAGGAAAATCAAGGAAGAACTACATTTGATAGCTAAGGGAGCCCACACCTTAAATTGAAGCGATCCTGTATATCCAGATTCACAGAACAGCCCAGTCAGAAGAGGCCAAGAAGACCATCTACTCCAACCCCCTGCTAGTGCAGGACACCAGTTACACCAACCCAATCAGGTAACTGTCTAATTGCTTCTTGAACGACTCTAGTGTGGCAGCTGGTTCCACTGTCCTACTGCTCTCATGGTCGAGAAATTCTTCCTTGCGTCTAGCCTGCACCTGGAGCACTGTAGCTTAAGTTCATAGTTCTGTGTCCTACAATCTGGAATGAGAACAAAGGCGTTTCTTTGCGACAGCCTTTAAGCTACTTGCAGAGTGTTATTGTGCCAACCCACAGTCATCTTTTCGCAAGGCCGAATAGGCCCACTTCTTTTAGCGTCTCATGGTAAGCCTTACTGTTGCCCTTTGTTGTAAATCTCCTAGGCAATCAGATATAAAATCCCCACTTCAATCAACAGTTCCAGAATAATCACATCTTATTGTCTTCTTTAACTTTCTAGACAGGTAGTAATAGCAGTTTGAACCTGTGTTAATCACCTGTGTATACCTTGCTCTCCTACAGAGATAACCAAAACACCTGAGATCATATCAGGTGAGTCAGCACTGACACCTAGTGTGGTTTAATAAAGCAGCTTCAGCAGATCCATGCTTAGTGTATAAACAAAAGAAAGTCCACAATGTTTGGACCCATGGGGAACTTTGAGAATTTAAGAATCTGCAATGGGCATCACCACCAAATTCCTAATCAATAGATTGCTGCTTTGGCATCTAATTTTCAAGTTTATGGATTTTAGGCTGCATCTTATTCAGCCTATTTGACAGCTAAGAAAATGGTAAAATAATATTGGAAGAATAAAAGCTCATCTCCAATGCAATGCATTAAGGATCTTACAATTTTTTTATACATGAATGAGTGGCATTTACATGACACCTTCAAATGGTTAATTATTTGGATATTTGGTCTACTTTTGTTGAAGCATATGTATAATTGCTAGAAATGTGTATGAAAATCATGTTATTTGTCTAAATCCAAATGTATATATTAAACTATTTTAAAATGAAAAAAATTAAAATTGGTGCAACATTTGCAACCTCTGAGCTAAACCATGACATACTGCAAGGAAAAAAATATTTCCTTGTGTTTATTTACCCTGTCCTGATTTTTAAAGGTAATTTAGGAATAACCCAAATGCCAATTGTTCACTACAGATACACATTGGTAGCTCTTCTCTGGCCATTTTCCAACATATGCTTTTAAAACACAATTAGGGAAGAAAGGTTCTTATCCTTTTACAAACCAACAAATAGTTTTCTGAAAGTAAAGAGAAAAAAAAGACAATGAAAGTTGATCTACAGATTTTTTTTTAAATGGCATGAATATTTTAAAACATTTAATATGCTGTTCCTTGTTAAGCACAGCAGCCCATTACAGTAACATTCCCATGGCAAGAATCATAATGTGATTGCCCTGGTCAGTCAGGGCATTTTAATCACAGACTCGATTCCAATTTTGTTATGAAATTGTCTAGACTCATGCAATGCACTTCTGTCAATTTCATCTGAGAGGAATACGCAACACACATGCACTAAAGGGAACACAAGGAAGGGCAAAGGGAGGGAAAAACTTGCTTGACTTAGGCAAGTAACTACAATGACCCCTGTTCTCCTTTTGAAAAACTATGTATAAATATCCATGCAAGGTCCACACATCAATGGACAGTTTTCCACCACTGTGAACGGGCACATTTTGTTCATATCGGGTGAATACAATGCTTGGAAACCAGTGGGGGAAGCTGTGGCTGTCCAGGTGCATTGGGTTCCAGCTCCCATCATCCCCAAATCACTGATCATGCTCAATGGAACCAAAAGAATGGAGAGCCCAACACTGTCTGCATAGCCACATGTTCATGTCTTCAAGCCTCACCATATCATTCCGAAAACCAGTGGGGCACTGGGAAAACCCTTGGATATGCTCAGCTTTCTTCTTTGCTAAGGAGCACTGAAGGATCACCAAAAGGCTAGAAGCAGAGAAACGAAAACACTGTCCCTGAACACAAAGCAAGAGTGACTGTAGGTCATGCCAGGCCAAGCCCCGGCTCAGCTAATCACAGAATGAACTCTCTGTAGCTCATGGTACATCAGTTTTAATGAGACTTGCCCATCATTAAATGGGTTGATACCTTTGCCATCAGCAGGCTCTTTTTAACAGCATCCACAAGGACAGATTTCTCCCAAAAGCAAATACTGAAAACATTTACTCGTGTGTGTTTTGGTTCTGGGATAAAGAAAGCAGAGCCAGATGATTAGAAGAACAACAAAGGTACTTATCAACAGGAGACTAAATAATACGTATAAAATGACACATGAGCTTCAACTTTCTCTAACAAATTAGCATAAACACAGATATGTCACTCTTCCCAGATATTAAATGCTCAGGCCAATACATGGTTTTGTAATATACATGTAATTTGGAACATGTATAAAAATGTCTGGCACCAAGGCATCCAAATGTCAACATGCTCTCTTTTAAAGGTCTACCACACACATTTTTCTCAGGAGACTCAAATGCAAATAATGCATTGCCATTTGTTATTTAAATTTCACCAGGCATTTAACCCTTGGGAGTTACCCAACCAAATAAGAAGGCCAGACTCTTGTACAGACCAAGTTCTTTGCATCTGTTCCAGTTAGCAGGATTACAAAAGGATCTCAGTTGTAATGTTTGGATTTATTGTAACTGGTTCATTTGATGCAAGCCCACAAAGAGGAAAATGCAAATTATAGCTTTCAGGGGTATGGCAGCAATTGTTCAACAACTCTACCCAGGGCCTAAGATGTAAATGGAAGTTTCAGTAATGCACAGTAGCCTGTTTTTGCATTCTGTGATGTCGCTAGAGTTCCAGATGACTACAGGGCTTTACTCCAGATTGACAATAGTCCTATTTAATCACTGATATAGTCAGATTGTCAAAACAACCATGTTGTATTCATCTTTTTACAGAGAATATAAAAGTTAGAGAAAAACAACTTCAACAGAATATTTTGATTGGCTGGGGGAGTGGGTAATTAAAATCACCTTGATGTAAATCAATCCACTTTTTTTCTAAAACTTTTCAGCCCAGATTTAAACCTATTTAAATAATGGGTAAAGCGAATGAATGCTTTGAGAGAGGATTTTAGATTCCCCAGGTTCAAATTCATGTCAGCCACTGGATGACCCTGGGCCAGCCACTGACTCTCAGCCTGACCTAATGCAAAGGGTTGTTGTGAAGATAAGATGGGAGCAGGAGACAGAAAAGAACTACGATTGGAACTTGCTTGGAGGAAAGGTGGGATATAAATGTAATAAAGAAATTAAACACATCAGGCTATTCCTATTTTTATATTACAACACTAAAGTATGTCTGATAAAGATTTTAAAAATACTCTGTGATTATGCTAATAAATCCATTTTGACTCAGAAGTCTCTCAGGGCTGTCATGCCCAGAATCAGTTCACTGCAATACAATGGTTGGAAATAAGTATCACCCATGGAAAATGATCGATTTTATCTCCCTAATGATTTGAGAGTAGTGATAGCAATGTAGAATAGTAGCTTTGCATTTGGATAAAGGGAATTGGTATAGCTTTGGTAGGAAAAGAGATAGCCACTGGTTCATTTTTTATTTCCTTTTCCATAACCATCTGCCAAACTGAGAAGATGCAGACTGCACATTCAGAATAAGCAGATTGGTAACTATTGCCTTGAAAGTGAATGTGTTCTTCCCATTACATCTCCTGATACTACAGACTGGTATTTCAGAGTTAAATGTAGCCAACTCATTACTAAATGTCTTGGACCACCTATACCCAGCACTGTTATACGTTAGCTTCTTTGGATATAATAATTCCAGTTCAGCTTCTTCGGATATAATAATTCCAGTTCATTTGACCAGCTAACTTGATGGCACCAACTTGTGCCCATCAGGTTGGATGCTGTGTGTGTGCAAAAGTAGACTGCAAGTAACTATCCAGTTCAGCTGGATCAGGCCAAAAGTATACTTGAATCCAGCATCCTGTCAACCAGATGCCAAGAAGTGTCAGGATCCTTCCTGCTTTTACTAGGCACAACAATACATATTGCAGACTCAGCCATGCTGATTTGATTGCAAAGCTCCAACTCACTATGGCCTCAGTTCACA